CTTCGGGCGGAGGAAGGGCACGTGGAAGTCCCCGGGGTGAGGAGCTCTGGGGCGGAGGGCCGGTCGCAGTGCTCGCCCGCCAGGTCTGGCAGCCTCGTGCCGCGAAGGACAAGACTGGCGGCGCGCACAAAGGGGGTATGGGGGAGCGGGGGCGGCATCTTAGAAAGAAGCTGCTTCTTAGAAGGCGCCGACCCTCCATCTACAGACAGGGTCTGCGCCTTCTGAGAGGCTTGGGTGCTTCTCAGAAGCCTTCCCCCCTCCCCCTGAGGAGGGGCCCCAAGGAGGCGGGTCCCCCCTGAGATCCTGGCGTCGCATTTTTTCGCAACGGGCGGTTTTACTTTGTTTCGGGCCCCAGGGCCCTCCAAGATCGATCCGGCCCGGAACATGCAACTGAAAGATGGGGCACAGGGTTCCGGCAGAGTTCTTCCACGATGTTGCAACTTTTTCGTGACGTCGGATCTCAAATATTCGAGACGGAGAAGATCAGAGGCAAGCTGTTCGATCCGTGCTTCGCAGGACCGATCATGAGCCGTGCTTTTTGCATGTGTTATCTCTGGCATATGAAACTCGTTTCCCTGCCCCGGGACCGTCAAGAGACCACTCAGTGCAAAGCAACAAATCCTGAGGAGAAGGTCGAGACTCCTGGGGGGGCACATGACATAACAAATGCGACGTCGGATGACACAGACCCCCGACGTCATGATTTTTGCATGACGTCGATCCCCAAGGGTCACGACCCATTCCCCATGACGGTGTTTTCATTCTTAGTCGTTTTGACGGTCCCGAGGCCCGGCAGGGGCCCACAGAGGCCGGAAATGGCAAAAAACTTACCGTCGTGATTTCTTCAGGACTCGAGGGGGTGTGGGGAGAAAGAGGTTAGAGGAGAACCGCAGAGGACTGTCGGATAGCACGTGGATAGAAGGAGTACTATGTTGTATGGAAAACAAACGTACCAAACAAATCCCCTCCAAGATGGAGACCACACATACTCTAGCATGAAGACGAGACGAAACTGCCAGACCACCCCTTAGACAACCTCGCAGGGATCCGGACAAGCCCCCTCCCCCGACAGCACCCCCCTGGACAACCCTCCCCCAAATCCCTCTTCCATGCAACATAATGGTTGAGACAGTCTCCAGCTGGATTCGCACCCCGGACTTTGGGGGCTGCCCTTCGTGTGCTCCGAACACCCGATCCTTTCGGGCGTCCAGGGGGCCCCAAAGAAGGGCACCTGGGCCCCGAGAAGCCTCCCACGTGCCCCCAAGATCATCCAAGGGGCCCCAGGAGAGGCACCCGAAGAGGTCCTCAGATCCGTGCAGGAGGCTCCTGACTCAAGATGCAGCTTCCGCGATCGTCTCAGACACTCACTCCTTGTGGGGGTCGGCGGAATGGCGTAAGCCCCTTGAACAACCTTGGGCGTCCAGGGGCCCCAAAGAAGGGCACCCAGGCCCCAAGACAGCGAAAAACCCTCAGGATCCCTTAGAGGCCTCCTAGATGGGGTCCGAGTAGATGGTGTCGAAAGATCGCGCCGCATCGCCAATGCATCGCCGATGTATAAGCGATGCATCGGCGACGTCGGTGATGCATCGGCGACGTCGGCGTGGGGAAACACGGGCCCCATATCGAGCCGCGTCGCCGATGCGTCGGCGATGCGGCGCGATCCTCCGAGCCCATCTATTCCGACTCCATCCTCGGAGGCCTTGAAAAGACAGCGACAAAACCCTCAGGATCCCTTGCCCCTCGGGACCCCATACCTGCAGCGACTCGACCATCAGTCGAGACGCTGGGAGTCTGGGCCCTGGCCCCCGGATCGCTGCCTGGGCCTCTCCAGTGGTGCGCTCTGACAGGAAGCTCTGAGAGGCCAGCCGTAGCGACGGGAAGCCTCCTGGAGGCCCCCCGAGCAAAGACCAAGAGCACTGCAGAACCTCGATCCCCGCACCTCCTCCTCTTCCTCCTCTTCCTCGTCCTCCTCCTCGTCTTCGTCCTCGTCGTCCTCCTCGTCCTTCTCCTCGTCCTCGTCCTCCTCCTCGTCCTCCTCCTCCTCCTCCTCGTTCTTCCTTTTCATCCTCGTCCTCCTCCTCCTCCTCCTCCTCCTCCTCCTCCTCCTCTTCCTCCTCTTCCTCGTCCTCCTCGTCCTCCTCGTCCTCCTCGTCCTCCTCCTCCTCCTCCTCCTCCTCCTCGCGGTGTGGTCCAGAGACGCTGGCCCTGGCGACGAGGGGCCTCTCTCTCGGAGGCGCCCGAAAAAGCGACGAGGGGCTAACGGCGCCCCCAAACAGCCTCGCGCCTCGGGGAGGGGGCGAACGGGCCCCCAGAGTTAGGTCGGGCATGTCCTCCTAAAGGGAGATCCTCGAATAACAAATGAAAACAATTGTCAAACAATCATCCAAACATGGCTCAACAATAATCAAAACATCGTCCCCTGATTACTCTTTGGCTACTTTTGAATACTCCTCCTGTGGAGGGACAGGCCCGACTTAACCCCAGAGCCTCGAAGACCCGATCCCCGAGCGTCTTGATCCTCGAGCCCTTCCGTCTGGCGGCGAGCGAGGGGGGGAGGCGAGGAGGGAGGCCTCCTCGGAAGGCGGCGGGACTCAGAAGGCCCTCCTCGCGCCTTCCGAACAGTTTTTTTCCCAACCAGCCTGTGGTGTTGGGTCCTCGTTTTGAAGAAACGGTCCCCGCGTCTCCTCCTCCCGTGCCCCCCCACCCAGTGGGGGTATCACATGCGTCTGCCACGCCCAGTACGGCGTTTCGTGGCCCCGCAGGGAGCTCTACCGAAGACCCCAGTGGGGGGTACCACATGCGTCTGCCTCACCCAGTACAGCGTTTCGTGGCCCGTCCACCGAAGACCCCAGTGGGGGGTACCACATGCGTCTGCCTCACCCAGTACAGCGTTTCGTGGCCCGTCCACCGAAGACCCCAGTGGGGGGTACCACATGCGTCTGCCACACCCAGTACAGCGTTTCGTGGCCCCATAGGGGGCTCCACTGAAGGCCCCAGTGGGGGTGGGGGTGTGGGGGGGTACCACATGCGTCCGCCACACCCAGTACAACGTTTCGTGGCCCCATAGGGAACTCCACGTAAGGCCCCATGTGGGGGTACCACATGCGTCCGCCACACCCAGTACAGCGCTTCGTGGCCCCAAAGGGAGCGCCACCGAAGGCCCCAGTGGGGGTACCACATGCGTCCGCCACAACCAGTACAGCGTTTCGTGGCCCCATAGGGAGCTCCACGGAAGGCCCCAGAGGGGGTACCACATGCGTCCGCCACACCCAGTACAACGTTTCGTGGCCCCATAGGGAGCTCCACCAGAAGCACCAGTGGGGGTGCCCACATGCGTCCGCCACACCCAGTACAGCGTTTCGTGGCCAGTGGGGCCGTCCGCATGCCCCATAGCTCCACCGAAGCCCCCAGTAGGACCGCCCGCATGCGTCCCGCACGCGCAATTCCCTACCCAGGTTCTGCCGAGAAGGGTTCTTACTCTCTGGGCTTAAAAGGGCCGGGCAATGGAAAGCGTTCCGGGCGGTTCCCCCAGTATCCGCCCCGCGGTTCCCCCAGTTACGTCCCCTTAGCTTAGCGTTGCTTATCTCAGCTTAGCTTAGCTTATTTCATATTTGCTTAGCTTAGCTTCATCTTAGCTTCGCGGAGCTTCGCTTAGCTTAGCTTAGCCTAACTTAAATTAGCTTAGCTTAGCTTAGCTTAGCATATCATAGCCCAGCATAGCATAGCATAGCGCAGAATATCATAGCATATCATAGCATAGCACAGCATAGCACATCATAGCATAGCAGAGCATATCGCAGCATATCACAGCAACAACAAGCACAAGCAACCACACCAGCAAAGCAACAGCAACAGCAACAGCAAAAGCAACAACAAAGACAAAGGCAACATCAAAGGCAAGAGCAAACGCAAAGGCAATGCACAGCAAAAGCAACACCACTGCGAAATTGTAGATGTAGATGTAGATGTAAATGTAGGTGTAGGTGTAGATGTGGATGTAGGTGTAGATGTAGATGTAGATGTAGGTGTAGATGTAGGAGTCGATGCGAGTCTCGCTGTTGATGTTGATGTAGATGTAGATGCAGGTGTAGATGTAAGTGTAGCTGTCGGTGTAGATGTAGATGTTGCTTTCCTAAATGTTCCAACTCCTATGTAGGGTCACACTGGGATAATTTGACATTTTCACCCACCCAGTACAGCGTTTCGTGGCCCCATTAGGAGCTCCACCGAAGCCCCCAGTGGGACCGTCCGCATGCGTCCCGGAAGCCCAATTTGGCAGTTTCACCCACCCAGTACAACGCTTCGTGGCCCCATAGGAGCTCCACCGAAGCCTCCAGTGGGACCGTCCGCATGCGTCCCGGAAGCTCAATTTGGCATTTTCGCCCACCCACCACAGCGTTTCGTGGCCCCATAGGGAGCTCCACCGAAGGCCCCAGTGGGACCGTCCGCATGCGTCCCGGAAGCCCAATCTGGCAGCATTTTCACCCATCCAGTGCAGCGCTTCGTGGCCCCATAAGGAGCTCAACCGACGGCCCCAGTGCTACCGCCCGCATGCGCCCCCCCCCCCCCAGTGCAGCGTTTCGTGGCCCCAAGGGGAGCTTCACCGAAGAAGATAGTCACAACTGCGGTACCCACAACTGCATATGGCTGGGCCCTTCGCCAGGATGATTTTCCTGTCCCCCGGGAAAGGCTCAGAAGACTTCTCGCAAGGCCAGGGGGGCTTTCGAGCCTTCTGAGAAGACCCGCCCCCGATCACACCCCCCCCCCCTCCGGGCTCGCCGCCCATTCGCCGGTGGAGGGCCTGGCGCCGCGCCCGCCGCACTCCGCCGGAGCCGCCACGCTCACCTGAGAGGGGGAGCGTCAAAGTCGGGAGGGGCCAGCCCTGGGGGGGGGGGGGAGCAGCGACCTGGGACCGGCGATGCGTTGCCAACGGATCGAAGATGCAACCATCTTTGGAAGCCTGGGAATGGGCACTGACACCAAGACAGGGGGCTGCCTCCAAGGGGGGAGATGATCCTTGATTTCGGTGTTGGTGGTGATATTTTGGCCACCTTGGAAGCCAGAATGTTACCACCATCACCGCTATCGAGTTCTTCCTCCCTCGTTGGAGGCACACCGCCGATATTGGTGTTGGTGTCAATCTCTAGGCCTACGACATCTTGCTATCACGCGCAGCGCCAAATATTCAACTAAGGGGCGTCTTTTTTTTGGCATCGGCGAGCCTCGGCCGCGAAGAGGTTCCCCGACCCGGGCTCTGAGGACCGACCGAGAACCAGATCCCCTCCTGAGCCCAGAGCGGTCCTTGTTGCAGGGGCTCTGGGACACACCAGTACATACTCACAAATAAGAGGATTCCCTGTATTTTCCTATATTTTCTAGGTTTTCGTCTCCCCCCCCACTTCCCACATTTTCCCATATTTTCCGGGGGATCGACGATTACTTGTGTCTGTGTGTTTTTTTCCCTCCTGACTTGTTTCGACGTCTTGACTGTAGGCCTCCGACTGGGGATCCGCACGTCCCTGGGTGGAGGGGGCCATCAAACCCCTATCCGTGATGAATGGGCGATTGGGGTTCGATGCATCCTCGCTAAGCCTATGCCCCCCCCTCGCATTGCGCTTTCCTCCCCTGTTTTCGGCTCATAACTCGGCTCCCTGGCGGCCGTTCGGGACGATTCGGGCACCCCTGGAACGCCCTCGGCAAGGCGCAGCCGATGGAAACTGCCCCGGGCTTCGACAAATAGCATCGGAAAACTCTGAGACACTTTTGAGGAGAACGATAACCGCGTTGGGAGGAGGGGGGTTGGGAGGCGGGTTTGAGCAATAACATCCGGATGCAGTGAACGATACCTTCGGCCGCCCATACGGGTAAAATGATATCCTCATTTCTCTCAACCCCATCCTTCCAACTCGATAATTGTGCTCATGAACTTTGATAACCCTGCGATCCGACGTGACGCAAAACAAATACAATATCGCAGAACACCTCGCCTGGAACCCTGGACCCCTTTTCTGCCGCGCATGTCGAGCCGGATGGATCCCCGAGGATCCCGGGGCCCGAAACGAGGCAAGTTCGCCCGTTCTGAACAAAAGTGCGACGCCAGGACCGCAGGGAACGTTCCCCCCTCGAGCCCATCCCCTCTCGTGACGTTGGCCCTGACCACCACCACTGGCAGCGCCTCTGGCGCGCGCAGCAGGCCCGCGGTCGCGGCCGGCCCGGCCCGCCTCGTGCCAGGAGGCGTGCTCGGCCACGCGCCGAGGTCGGCCGACGACTCCGACAGCTGCCGCGCCAAGGGGCCGGCGGGGCCGCTGTCGGGCCGCCCGGTGGAGCCAGTGTCGGGTCGCCTGGTGGAGCCGGTGTCGGGCCTGGCGGGTGGCCGCAAGCGCCGCCGCCGCCGTCGCCATCGTCGCTTGCGTCGACTTCGTCGCCGCCGCTGTCGCCGCCGCTGCCGTCGTCGCCGCCGCCGTCGCCGTCGCCGTCGCCGCCGCGGGGATCGCTTCCGTCGCCGCAACCGCCGGCGCCGCCGTCGCGTCGTCGTCGTCCAGAGGAGGCGGATGAGTCGGAGGAGGGGGAGGAGGATGGGGAGGAGGGCCAAGTGCGAGGTCCATCCCATCCCCCGCACTCGGGCCCCTTGCGCGCCAGGGGCTGCGGGGCCAGCCGCCACGCGATGGCAGCACGGCGGGCGCAAACAGCCAGGATGAGTTCGAGGAGAACTGGCTACGAGATGAACGTGACGGGCCTTGCGGGGCCCAGGCCGCTACGAGCTGCGGCACGCAGGACTGGTCACAAGATGCGGCTTGGCCTGAACGCCGGATGGAGTGACATATCCATCATGGTGGCCGCCATGAAGAATCTTCGCTCGCACGAGGAGCAGAAGCACGTGCCGACGTACGACGACAAGTACGACAAAAAATAGGCCACCCTTCGGGTTATCAGGACGTTGGGGGGAGGGAAACGTAGGATGCTGGTGGCGCGCCCTCGAGTTGGACACGACGCGTGATGACGATGTTGCGCTGCGGTGTGATGTCACTATCGACCCCGCTATCGATCTCACTCGATCGATCTCACTATCGACCTCACGGCCAGTCTTAGTATCGATGGATTCAGCGATCGATGCCATTAGCGAACTCACACTGAGTGGCGCTTAGTACGATCGGAACACCATCGGGACACCACTACTGACCTCACTATCGATGGGACTGGGGCTATCGGTCTCAATACCGATTTCACCTTATCTCGGTCGTTATCGATCTCACTATCGATCTCACTATCGACTGGGATACCATCGGGACACCACGGCAGGACACCGCGGGACACCGCGGAACACTACTGGACACCACGGGACACCGCGGGACAACACTGAGACACCGCGGGACACCACGGGACACCACGGGACACCACGAGACACCATCGGGACACCACGGCGGGACACCATCGGGACAACTTGACACCACGGCAGGACACCCCCAGCCACCGCGCGCCCACTGGAAGACCAGACTTTTGCATCCGAATCGCCACCGCGGGACACCATCAGGACACTGCGAGACACCACGGCGGGACACCCCCAGCCACCGCGCGTCCACCAGAGGGACGGACTTTTGCATCCGAATCGCCTTAGCGACGGCGGGATCATTCCTCTCGCACGCCCACGCAGCTTTGCCTCGCCCGCACGTGCGACACGAACACGAAACCGAAACCGATTTCCTGGTGGTGGGCTCTCCGTTCCACTGCGACCAAGTACGACAAGGAGGAATAGGTGCTATAGGAGAGCACGCGCGGGAAGCGAGGGAAGATTCGCTGTACGAGAGCACGCACGGAAGAGGTGGTATACGAGAGCGCCTTGCGCCGAGAGATCAGCAGATACAGTACATCGTTGTGGATGTACTGCAGCAGTACCACAACCAGTACACCGCCGTGCAGCTGCAGAACGTCACCTGCGCGCACGACGCACACGAGCAGTTACGACAGCAACGGCAACTACGAATACCACAACTCGCCATCGCTCGGACGTCCATTCCCCGTGCACTTTTCGGCTCCGTGGTTTGCTGGCTGAAGGCGTATGGCTACCAACAGAGCCTGGAGGGCCTCTGGCGGAGCTCCGAGGGTAACATCGACAGCTCCGAGGACCACCGGCGCAGTCCGGAGAGCCACCCGTAGAGCTTCGAGGGCCACGCGCTGAGCTGCGAGGGCCACGCGCAGAACTCTGAGAGCCACCAGCAGAGCTTCGAGAGCCACCAGCCGAGCTGCGCAGTCCACCCGCTGAGCCACGACGGCCACAAGAACAGCCTCGACGGCAGCGCGGACCACCCGGCGCAGCTTCGAGGGCCACAGGCAGAGCCACGGGGGCCTCAGCAGACCTCCGAGAGCCACCAGCGGAGCTCCGAGGGACACGTGCTGAGCTACGGGGGCCACAAGCTGCATTGCGCGGGCAGCGAGCAGAGCTTCGAGGCTACCACGCTACGAGGATCGCGAGCTGAGCCACACGGACAACAGGCAGACCCTCGAGGGCCATCAGCGGAGCCACCGGCCCCCCCCCCGCCGAGCTACCACGGCCACCAGCAGCGCCTGGCGAAGCACCAGCTGAGCCATGAGGGCCACGAGCCAAAGCTGAGCCGCAGGGGCCACCAACGGAACTGCGGGGACCATCCGCTGCGCTTCGAGGGCCACCAGCAGAGCTTCGAGGGCCACTAACAGAGCTACGAGTGCCACCCGCTGAGCTACGAGAACCAGCGACAGAGCTACCAGGGCCCAATTGCTGAGCTACGAGGACCACAAGCTGAGTTACTAGGGCCACTACACAAGCTCAGCAACGAGAGCCACGAGCATGGCCACGAGGAACACCAGCTGAGATACCAGGGCCACCAGCCGAGCCACAAGGGCCACGAGCTGAGCTACTTGAGCCACCAGCGGAGCTTTGAGGGAGAACAGCCGAGCCACGAGGGCAGTTTCGGCCACCAGCTGAGCTACCAGGGTCCGCCGCTGGGCTAACAGAGCCACCACTAGAGCTACGAGGAACATCTGCTGATCTACCAGGGCCACCAGCTGAACTGCGAGGGCCACAAGCTGAGCTACTTCGGCCACCAGCTGAACCACCAGGGCCACCAACAGAGTTGCGAGAGCCGCCAGCCGAGCTCTGGGGGCCACCTCCTGAGCTACGATGGCAGCCAGCTGAGCTACGACGGCCACCAGAGGAGCTCCTACCTCGCGATCCGCTAACATGGCGGCCGCGAACATCAGAGAGATCGCAGCCACCTGCCGAGAGAAATGGGACAGATAACGCCAGCTGCGGATCCGTACCCTCGAAGCCGTCTACGAGGCGGGCTGCATCTCCAATGACGAGTGCCAGCAGCGCATCGCCACAGCGCAGCGCCGGATGAGAAACCCGACTACGGCCCCACAGGGGCTACCTCATGATATTCGCGTGGCAAATCACGACGACGGCGCGGCCGGCCAGCCTGAATCCGGGCACACACAGACACTACGACCCCCGCCTATTTTGGAGACACCACCTATCCCGACGAGTATAACAATAGGCGCGGCTGGCGTGCCTGCCTGAAACTACCAGACTACGGACTAGGTCTGCCGCCAGATCACCGCCTACGCCAACGCGAGCTGAGACGGCAAGGCCACCGGCAACAACTACAGCTCGAAAACCACCTAACCACCGCACACGACCCCCGAAGCCCCTGTGGGGCCCCACGGCTCTGGGCCGGCTAGTAGCGCCTGAAGTGTCGCCACCCTTTTCCCTCGCCCTCCCCGTGCTTCTCTCGCCCTCCGTGTCCTCCCCTTGGGGTACCGGCCTAGCGGCCTTACGGCCCCGCTATGGGGTGCAGAGGGCCACAGCCCTCATCTCGACCGCCTCCTCCTTCTCCTGACATGGCATGAGAGTACTGTCAGCCCATATAGCGAGGACGAGCGATAAGGATGAATGGGCCTTGAAAGGCCATGCCGACACTTTGCGAGCGGGGCGCTGCCAGCGAAAGCGGCCAAGGATGGGCCGAAGGGGAAGGATGCAAGGGTAAGCTTGGAACGCTGCTCATCCTTACTATGCGGATTGACAGTATGGCTCCCTCCCTCCCTCCTCCCCCCCCCCTCTGGAAGCTTGATGTCCTACTTTTTTCCTGACGTCGGCCCCCGGCGGTCTCGACCCATTCCCCATGACCGGTTTGTCACCCCGAGCCGTTTTTGGACGGTCTCGGGGCCCCGCGGCGAGGGCCCCCAGAGGCCGAAAAGAAGATTGAGACAAAACCTGCCGCCGTGCTTTCTCCACGACCCGATAGGGGGTCCCGGGAGAGCACGGCTCCCACCCCTCCCCTTCCCCCCCGCCGTCTCTCCGGAAGCTTCCCTCGGCGGCGCCCGAGGGCTCCAGGGCCGCGCACGTCGGGCGCTCTTGCGCGGCCGCGTGGGACGCGGCTCTGGGAGGGATCGCTGTCGCAGCGGTGCGCAGCGGTGCGCAGCAGCAGCAGCAGCAGCAGCAGCAGCAGCAGGAGGATGAGGAGGAGGAGGAGGAGGAGGAGGAGGAGGAGGAGGAGGAGGAGGAGGAGGAGGAGGAGGAGGAGTGTGGTCATCATTATCATCGTCATTACTTGAACTTCCCAGGTACCTCCCGCTTACTCTGCGTCGATGTTGGCCTCTCTCAACTGCCATTATTTTAGCTATTGCCTGTCTTCGTCCGCAGCGCTCACCACTTGCCTAAGTTGTTTGCTTCTTCGCCTAAGTCGGCGATTGATTTTCTTGTGCGTGAACGCCGCAAGCTCGTGCTTCAGGTCCTGGCAACGTCAAAAAGGAGGAGGAGGAGGAGGAGGAGGAGGAGGAGGAGGAGTGCCGCCTCAGTAAGACGAAGCCAGAACGAGGACGCATTCAGATGAGGATAGATCGGGAATCTCTGAGATCCCGCGGCTCTGGATGATGTCGAAGGCGCCCACGCATCGAGGAACGGGCCCAGCGGCCGCACGCTGCAGATTTCGTACCCCCCCCCCCTTGCCCTGTTGCCCTATCCTACCCTTTCGCCGGGCCCGAGAAGGATCAGTCTCGTCCAGGGCACAAAAAAACACAAAACACACACGTGTGTGTTTAGTGTTTTTTTTCCCCCACGTGCGTGTTTTTTGTGTTTGTTTTTGTTTGTTTTTTCCCACCTGTTTTTTTGTGTGTGTGACCTACGCGACCTGCCACCTACGCGACACATCCCACAGAGACCCACAGGGACCCCCCCCCAAGGGAATCCACGGAAAGAAGCGTACGCGCCCAGCCACGCATGTGAATACGAACCCTTCGTCCGCGATGCCAGCCTCGTATTCCGAACGCTCGCGTCAAGCATGCTCTCGAAACCACGGACATGTATGCACACTTATGTGTGCATGAATGGTCCTGACCTCCCCCCAACCACTTGGCACGCCTGGAATGGGTGCAGACAAATGCGTGCGATGCCACACGGCAAATGCTGTCTACAACCGACGGCGGCCGCTGCTGGGCAGGAGACCTTCTGTCTCAACAAATGGACTTCCGCGGCGACACCGGCAACGAGTCCTGCTCAAAACAAATAGGAACTGCTATTAGTTTTCGTCCTCATTCTTTTATCCATTTCGGCCCGCCAGAACCGCGCGCCCCTTCCACCCATGAGGGGGAGGAGGCGGAGGATGAGGAGGCGGAGGAGCAGGAGGCGGAGGAGGAGTCACAGCCCCTCCACCCCCTCTGCCCCCTAACCCCCCCTGGAGGTTCTGGGGAATCTTTGCCGTTGTGCGCTGCTCTGTGCCCCATCGGGGTACGTCCAAGGCTCTTCGCCCCTCCACTTCCCATCGGCCACGCACTGGCTCTACTTGAGGGTCGAGCGAACGCTGCGCTGCTGTTCTTGTCCCAGGACCGCGGCCGTGAAGACGCGACGGCTCATGCAAGCTGGCCTCTGTCGAGCCCCCCGTCCGGACCCGCCCCCCCCCCCCCAGAAGGCCCGCCTGCTCCTGCAGTACTCCTTCATGCGCTGGAGCTTCGTCCGCCGGGCCTCCCTGTCGGCGCGGTCGTCGGGCCAGCCCGCCTCGAACGGGCTGCGCGAGGGCGGCCTGGCCCGCGGGGTCGGCCGCGGCGCGCCCCGGGACTGGAGGGCGGCGCGGACCATCCTCTTGCGCAGCCAGCAGGGGAGCGGCGGCATGGTGGCCTCTCGCAGCGGAGGCGCGCAGGGGCGACCCACAGGGCAGGAGGGACCCCCGGCGTGCGGATTCCAAGTGGGGGGGGGGGGGCGCACGGGCCGCACGGGGGGGCCACGCCCAGGTGCATGAGCCGCTGCTGTCGGGTCGCTTTCAGCGATCGGGCGATCCCACTGGGCCCGCGCCAATGGTCATCCTGGCGAAAGGTCACTAGTAGGCGTAGTCGACTTCACGTGCGCACACACGGAGGAAAGGTCTTACCTCAAGAATTCTTGGGGCACACCCTTCGTCGATGTTTGAGTTTCCCGAAGTGCCTCGGGGCTTCTGTGGGCTCCCAAGGCCACTGGGGGCCACGAAACTTCAGTGGAGCACCTGCCGGCAGGCTGGTTTCTTTTGTGACGTGCCTACTGTATCGAGGAGGATCGAGGTTGTTCGTACGTTTTTGGCGCCTGGAAACCGTCTCTGGGCCGCGCGGCCGCCTTGGTGGACCCTGGGAGGAGTCCAGGGGACCGCCTTTGATTGGAGATTCGAGTTTATCTAACAGATTCATATCCATGCTGCCCTCGCGGACTGGATTCTGAGGCACGACCCTATGGATACGCAGTCGTATGGATGTCCCAATCGTATGGATGTGCTCCGCGCAGGGCATCCGGTCAGAGCCGCCCTGTTCGATGATCCTGGGAGCGTGTGTTAGCGCCAACGCGTGCTTGTCCACCGATGTCTTCCAATACGACGCAGTCGGCGTAATGAGGGCCGGCGCACGCCGCGTGCTATCAGTAGAACTGAGCGGGGTAAATGCCCCCCCCCCCCCCCCACACACACACCCACACACCCACACACCCACACACCCACCCACCCACCCACACACCCACACACCCACACCCACCTCCAGACCTACACCCGCACCCACATCCACATCCACACCCACACCCACACCCACACCCACACCCACACCCACGCCCACGCCCACACCCACATCCACATCCACAACCACACCAACACACCCAAAGACACGCACGCACCCACGCACGCACGCACGCACGCCCCCCCCCGGCCCCCCCCTCCCCCCCCACACACACACCACACACACGCACGGCACGGCACGGCACGGCACGGCACGGCACGCACGCACGCACTGACGCACGCACGCACGCACGCACTACGCACGCACCCACACACACCCATACACACACCACACACCACACACCACATACCACACACTACACACCACACACCACACACCACACGCCCACACCCACTCACACCCTCACACCCCCACACAAACACACACCCGCACGCACGCACGCACACATACACACAGACATACACAGACATACACAGACACACACACAGACACACACACACAGACACACACAGACACACACAGGCACACCCAGACACACAGACACACAGACACACACATATATATATATATGTATATATATACATATATATATACATATACACAGACACACACAGACACACAGACACACACAGACACACACACAGATGCACAGACACACACACACACGGACATAGACGCAGACGCAGACACAGACACAGGCACAGACACACACATTGACACAGACACAAACACAAACACAAACACAGACACGCACACGCACACGCACACGCAAGGGCACACGCACACGCACACGCACACAACACACACACACGCCCCCCCCCACACACACACACGCACACACACACGCACGCCTGCACGGACACTCATACACACACACACACACACACACACACGCACACGCACACGCACACGCACACGCACACGCACACGCACACCACACGCACACGCACACGCACACGCACACGCACACGCACACGCACACGCACACGCACACGCACACACGCACACGCACACGCACACGCACACGCACACGCACACGCACACGCACACGCACACGCACACGCACACGCACACGCACACGCACACGCACACGCACACGCACACGCACGCACGCACACGCACACGCACACGCACACGCACCACACACACACACACACACCACACACGCGCGCGCGCGCACGCACGCACGCACGCACGCACGCACGCACGCACGCACCACGCACGCACGCACGCACGCCCACACACGGACACACACACACATACCACACACCACACACCACACACCACACAAAACACACAACACACGACACACCACACAACACACAACACACTCCACACACCTCACACAACACACACCAAGCAACACACAACACACACAACGTACCGTACAACACACAACACACAACACACAACACACCCAACACACCCAACACACCCAACACACACAACACACACACACACCCACACAACACACAACACACAACATGCACAACACATCATACACAAAACACACGCAACACAACACACACACACACACGCATCACACCCCCCCCCCACACACACACACACACTACACACACCACTCACACCGCACACACCACACACCACTCACACCACACACACCAAACACACACGCACACACCACACACCTCACACACACCACACACACAACACACGTAACACTCACACACCACACAACACACAACACATAGAACACATACAACACACAACACACAACACATACACACAAACGCCACACACATTCACCCACCCACCCACAAACACCCACACACACACCCATACACACCCACATACACCCACACACACACACCCACACACACCTACGCACACCCACACACACACACCCACCCACACACACCCACACCCAAAACCCACACACACACACACACACACAACACACACACACACACCCACACACCCGCACCCGCATACGCACACACCCACACACACCACACACACACACCCACACACAAACGCACCCACACACACCCCCCCCCCCCCCCACACACACACACACCCTCACAGACCACCCACACACACCCACACACACACACACCAACACACACGCACACACAAACACACACAAGCACACACACACCACACACACACATCCACACACCCACACACGCACACCTACACACCCGCACCCGCACACGCACACGCACCCGCACACGTACACGCACGCGCACACGCACACGCACACGCGCACGCGCACGCACACGCGCACGCGCACACGCACACGCGCACACACGCACGTTCACGCGCACACGCGCACAGACCCAACGGCAAAAATCACATTGCGACCTCGTCGAAAAACTCAACCGCAACCCTGGGCCCGATCTTTGTGCGGCAACGTCTAAGGCCAGATCGATCCGTGAGGGTGCTGGTGGGGCCCGAAATGAAGCAAGACCGTCCGCTGCGAAACGAAACAAGTACGACGCCAGGACCTCAAAGTCCCGGGGGCCATCGGCCTGCATCCATGACGCCGCGGCCGAGGAGTCCAGACCGCCAGGCCGTGCATTGTTTACGGCAGGTTCGTGTCGTGTCGACCCCAGCGTTGGTTTCTGTCGCCGCGGAAATCGTTCAACCTTGAACGGTCGGCCGTCTCCGAAACGTTGGATCGTTCAACACCGACCCGTTCTGGGTCGCCCGCGGCGTTCAATGTTGAATTCCGGCGGCGGGGTCGCCGCTGGTCGACGCGGCGCCTTTTCCTCCTCCTCCTCCTCTTCCTCCTCCTCCTCTTACTCCTCCTCCTCCTCGTTTAAAGTTTAGGGTTTAGGGGGAGGAGGAGGAGGAGGAGGAGGAGGAGGAGGAGGAGGAGGAGGAGGATACGATACGATACGACACACTGACGATCCACTTACTGCCTGACTGAGCAACGCAATGCTATACATAAGAGAAGCGGAGCCTGGATGTACATCAGCTGGATCTGTGTACGCTGTCGAGAGCGTCTGTCTAGATCGCCCTGCGGGGGGATGCCTCAGGCCAACTCCGAGAGCTTCCGAGAAGGGGGAAGCCTGGAGGCCTCGCCAAGGCACCGCTCCACAGTTGAGCGTACAAGCGACGTCGAGAGTCCACTTGCATGTATCATGAAAAGAACTGATGCGACTGCACGCACACGCACGCGTGCTACACACGCGCACCTGCAACAAAGAGTGGGCTCAGGACAGAAAATGACCTCCGGTCCAGAAGGCCACTCAGTCCCACCTCATGGCTGGGGATTGGAAGTCCTGTCATCATCGCCCAATGCTTGCAAATGCAACTGATACACATCAGAAGTGACACGCGTGCTCACGAGTCTATGATGGGCCTGGTCATCAGAAGATACAGTTGAAATCCGAGGATCCACCCGCATCTGCATAGCTCGAACCTGAGACGCTCGCCTGGCCAAGTCAACCAGTGACATCGCGAATTGCAGCTGATCTCCATAATAAACTCCGAATTCCTGCCCAGTCGAAGTCTGGTAACTCAAAATTGGCTCAGCACACCCATTCTGCAGGTTGTGTAGGCCAGTATGTTGTAGTAGGCCATCTCGAGCCATCTGGACCATACGAGTGGATCCTTTGATAGCAACCAGCGTAGCTAGCCGAGCTCCTCGTCCACGCTGAGCTGCTCGCCCTGGCCTTGCTGCATGCCGATCTTCCCGCGGAGGCGCTCCGCGCGACGGTGCCTCACCTGATCCTGCAACACCTGCGGGTCGCTGTCGCCGTGGGCGATGTTCAAGTCCCGAAGGGCTGCTTTGGCCTTCTCTAGGGGGTTCCTGTTGGGGAGGTGAACCCTGGCCGCCATCCACATGTTGGGCCACAGGCCCGCCTCTTGCAGCGCACTCGCGATGAAGTACGCAGCGTGGAGCAAAAAAAAAGCTGGGCGAGACGCCAATCAGGTCGGCTATGTCGCACGAGTTGGCGATGCACGGCCTGGTCAGCACGCGCATCCGCGACTTGAACTCGTGGGTGTCCTTCTGGCCCTTCTCGCGCGGGCTCTTGGCCACTGATTCTCCGTCCTCGTCGCGAAGCCTGCCGAGCGGTAGCCCCCAGGTTGACGGGGCTGATCCCTGCGCATGGCTCGACACCACCACTGCTGGGGGCTCCGCCGCTGATGGTCCATCTGGCATCGCAGACGATCGGGAGCAGAGTGAAGTGTTCACGGTAGCGTAGATGTAGTGCTTCACGCTCGAGCCCAGATAGATTGCATAGTCCACGCGCGTGCGTAGCATGAGCTCCGCCTCCTGCTGTGCGAAACGCACTGGGCCGACCCATGACACACATGCCTGTGCGGAACGATGTCTTAACGTGCTTGCGCGCCGAGTTGCGGGCCTCGAAGATCTGACCACAGACAAAACATTGATTATCTGTAGTTAGAAGGCCCAGTCTGCTCTGAAGCCCATGCCCTTGCTGCAGACGACTAGTGAGTTGCCGTTGCGTTGCAAATCTACGTCCACATCCTCGAATACAACACGCATACTCATGGTCGTCATCATCGCGCAGATCTTGTTGGAGCTCTGCAGGGGCATCAGGAACCTGGAAACCTGGGGGGGGGGGGGGGGCACTAACTGTCCAGGATGCCGCCCGGAGTTCGCTGATGTCCAACCAGCCAAACCAGTCGGCAAGATCAGGATCGCCGAAAAGCGCCAGGGGTCGAGAGTCCCAGTCGTCGACTTTGTCTGAGTGCCCCTCCCCCCAGCTGACGAAGCGATTCGACATCTTGTGCAAACCTGCGTGCCCATGGGGGCGCGTGCTGTGTAAGCTGCCCAGAGTCACCAACGATATGTATGCCCCGCTCTCGTTCTGCACGGATAGGAAAGAACAGAGCGCCCCAGTCAGCAGCGTGGTAATGAGGCCGCTGAACCCACTTCTGATACCACTTCAACCTGCGGATTTTGAGTTCTATCTCCAAGGGAGCAACTCTCCAGGGCTGGGGCGCGCGCAGAGCGGGGATGGAGCGACGGTGATCACGGTGCCATTCAGTGGCCGCCCCTCGCGACGCTCGACGGCCAAACTCAACTATTTTGTTCTGCAACTTCTGAATCTGCTTGGGCGCGGGAAGAAACGCCTCTAGAGCCGATGCAGCAGGGCCGACAACCTTGCTGAGAAACGTTGCTGTACGTTCAACAAACGGGATCCTGGGGGTGTACCAGTACTTGCCCATAGACCAGCACCCAGCCGCGATTGCGTCCAGTCGTTCGTGAAGTTCACTGTTGAATGTGCTGTCGTGTCGTACAAATGCGCCTAAATACATTGCAACATCATTCGGGGTTCCTGCCATGGGGGGCGCCTTGCTCTCGATGACCTGCTTGCGAGTCTGCTGCCCCCGACCTTGGAACGAGGCGACCGACTCGTGCTTTGTGCCTAGCCAAGCACTCGCTGAGAATCTGAGACTGCCTGCTGAGGGAGACTGCACCATTTTCAGACGAGTCTGCGATCAACTGTCTCAGCGCGTCATCCACGTAGATGTGGAACGATGCGTCCAGCTCCAAGGGCTCATGCCCTTCAGGCTGAAGATCAACCACGCAGAGTTGGGCAGTGGGCCCACCAGATTCAGCAAATACCGCCTGCGCCCCTTCAGAACAGTCTCCTATATCTCGTGCAAAAACTTTGACCGCCCACGGGCCCCCCGGCAGTGCCCCTTACCCAGGGTTTGACAAAGAGGTGACCATCATGCCCTCTGAAACAGACAGCTGAACATTAAAACCTCTGTTCCCCGTACATGTGCCCCCCCCCCATCACCTCCATGTTTGCCCTGGCCAGATCCCAATTGGTAGACCCGAGCGCATTAGTGATGTCCATATGGCCATTGACGAATGCATAGCCAAGCGTGTGTAGCCTCCAGCCAGGCGCCTGCTGTGCCAAAAGTGGCGTTTCTCGTCTGCGGCGAGAGACGCATCCGTGATACGAGAGGGTTTCCTCATCCTTCTCCGTGGGGCTGATGCACGTGGATATGAACGCTTTTGCCAAAGGGGCACAGGACGTGTACCACGCGCTTCCAGGATAAGGCAGCTGCCTGAGATAAGTGCCAAACCAGAGGGACCTGCCGGGACCGTCGGATTTTGTGCATGAGCGAGACCAAGAATCCACGAACAATTTTCAGCTGAATATCGAGAGCGTTGCAACCCACCCCTCGGAAACGCTCAGCCGTTCGGCGATATGGGAAGAAGATCGTCCAGAACAACTCCGAAGGTACAGGCCATTCTGGAACTGCCCGTCGACGCCCTGCTTTCTTTATATATTGCCTAACATGTTGCAGTTTGTCTTTGGCCTGCTGGGGGCCCTCCTCAGTGTGCTGCCCCAGGAAGTACTGAGCTTCTTGTCCGTGCTCGTTGTGATATAAGTATTCCTCGGCGTATGCGGGCCAGTCCACTACCGTTGCAGCCATGCCTCCCTGAGACGCTGAGAGGAGCCACCTATCTTGTAGGTCTTTGCTGGACGGGGTGGCCGCTGGTGGACGTCGGTAGTTCCTCTTTTTTTTGGCCCCGCCCCCCTAGCAGAGAGCAGCCGAGATAGCCTGGCCACCTCGGCCTGTCGCCCTAGCTTCATTGCTTCGTGCAGCTCGTCAATAATATCTGATCTCCACTGCTTGAGGTACTGGCGCCGAAGAGACCTCAGGTGTTTGCTGAGGAAATAAATTTGCCGTGCAATATGCTCAAACTCTTCTGACGGCGCTGCAGACAGTGACATGCGCATGCTGCGCATTTGTGCTAGGAGAGGAAGCATATACTGGGCCTTATCAGGGTAATCGGATGAGCGCTGTACATTCTTTGCGAAATACTTTCCCCCCACCGTGCTGAGAACATTAATAAACTACCCCCCACTCAGCATTAGGTGTCTGCTCCTCCCTCCTGATCTGCTCCCATTGTTCCTGCTCTGCCTGCAACGTAGCCTCAAGCTCCTGCAAGAATTCTGCGCGGCACGTGCCCAGCCTCAGGCTGTCCATGAGAGCCTCCTTGTTCCAGCAAACAAATCTAGGAGCGAACCCAAGACGATGGTTAGGCTGAATGCCGAGCGCCTCGCTACCTGTGGTGGCCTGCAAGGAATATTCAAATCTGGCATGCACAGGTACATGATCACGGTGCTCGCGATGCCGTATGAGCTGGAGCTGCCGTGCGATCTTTCGGAGGGGTCCAGCCGATGTGATCTGTGGCAGGGAGCAACGAGGTATAGGAATGTAGTCTATGAGCGACGTGCCTCCTGCCGATCCGACGTATGCGGGGCCAACACCTACATGCATATTGACTGGTACCAGATCAAGCATTTGAATGAGGGGCAACATGGCATCAGCGGAGTGGCGTTGACGACCTCGCCAGTTAGAGGAGCCAAATCGATCGTCCTGCACAGGAGTCCAGTCCTCACTTCCACTAAGCCTCTGCTGCCCAAATGCCGAATTCAGATCCATCGCCAGTACTGGAAAACATCTGGATATTCCAAATATTGGGAGACTCCAAATCCAGTTCGTAATAGCATCACACGTTTTCACATGTGCAGGGAACTCTGACGCTCGCGAGGGCGGCGGTGGGAAGTACGCACACACACACACAATTCCTAGGTCGAACTGACTGGTACGCGCACGGACGGCCACTCCCCTTCCTGCAATGTGGGGTGGCGCCGCCCACGAATGAGTGATGGAACGCTTGGGAAGGCGAGGGCCGAGCACAATACTACATCCAGGAGCCCGATTGCTGCCAGCTGCTCGTGCCCACCCTGCTTCAATCGCCCATCTCTTCCCCGCCCTTCTCCAGACAATCTCTTCCTTCCCATACTTCCGAGCTCCCGTCCCAGTCAAACATACAAAGTCGAACTTGGTGGTGGCGGCAGCTATGTCAAGGAGCCTGTCGTACGATGCAGCCGACATCGGATTGTACTGTAAGACTGAAGTGCCATTCATGCCACACACGCTGACTCCTGGCGGCCAGCAGCGATCCTCGGCGAATCAACACTCAAAGGGCGAATCCCATGAGGATGTCCATCAAACCTGCGGCGCTGTGAGCACCGTCACAAAAAGGAATGTGTGGTGGGGAGGGGACGTGAAGCTGCGTTATCGGGCGCACCCCCCGTCTGGGCCAGGGTGCTTAGGAGGAGGAGGAGGAGGAGGAGGAGGAGGAGGAGGAGGAGGAGGAGGAGGAGGAGGAGGAGGAAGAGGAGGAGGAGGGGGAGGAGGATGCTCAGGCGGCTCGCGAACCGTTTCTTGGCAGAGCGCGGGACCCGGTGAGGGCATCCGGACGCCGACGATCATATCAGACACCTCTCGTCGTGATCTCTTCGCGCTGCGAGGATGTCAGGGACGTGGGGCCCCAGGAAGGGGCCCCAGAGATCTTGGCCAGGGGCGTAGCGAGGGGGGCGGCCTTCTGAAGAGGCCCCCTCCGCCTCGTGGGGGTCCTCCTGCCCTTCGAGGGGCCATCGTAGAAGGCTTCAGAGGGGCCTCGGTCCCCGCTGAGAAGCCCCTCGTGCTCTCCCCCTCCTCGCTCCGATTGCCCCCCCAACCGCACTCGCTCGACACTGGTCCTGGAACCTGGGGTCCGTCCTGGCCAGTTTCCCGAACCGCGTCCAGCCGTGGCGACGAGAACCTCCAGAAAGTCCCGAAAACTTCAGAATGCAATTGGGGCCGGCCGCCGCCATCGTCGCCGCCATTGTCGTCGTCGTCGTCGTCGCCGCCGTCGTCGTTGTCGTCGTCGTCATCGTCGTCGCCCACTCGCCGTCGCCGTAGTCGCCGTCGTCGCCGTCGTCGTCGTCGTCGTCGTCGTCGTCGTCGTCGTCGTCGTCGTCGTGGTCGTCGTCGCCGTCGTCGTCGTCGGCGCCGCCAGGCCTTGGTGGAGCCGTCCGAAACGCAAAAGTCCACATCGCCGAGCTCGGCGGGCGCGCGCGCGCCGCCCCTGAGCAGGGCGCCGAACAGGCCTCCTGTGGGCGCCGCCGCGGCGCAGGGCGCAGCGCAGTCGGCCGCGGCCGCCGAGCACGCGGGCAGGATGGGCGCCAGCCTCAGCTGCCCCGATACGGAACACGCAACACGTAGCGTGTTCACACGGAACTCAACACGTAGACTGCGCACGTAGGTCCAGCGCGAGACGTTCGCCAAAGCGTGGGCCAACGCGTGCCGAGCAAACGCGCAGCATGTCAGCACGTACGTTTTCAGCACGGCACGTGTTGCGTTTCAACACGGGCGCATCAGGGCAGTTGCGGCGCCAGCCTTTCGTCCGCAACGGCTAATTAGCGCTGACGGATACGACCAGGACCGCCAACACGACGGCGAAGACGACGACGACAGCGGCGGCAGCACCGCACACGACCGGCCGTTCTGGGCCGGGGGTCAGCCCTGAAGTCCTGGGTCTTGGCGCCTCATTCTCTTCAATTGTTCTACAACGGGCGATTTTGCCCTGTTTCGGGACCTGGGGTCCTCAATTCGCCGGCCCAACGGGCCAGAGGCGTGCTAAGATCTCCGGTAACTGGTTAACCATATTTCTAGTTCGCGCGCGCGGGGCGGCCCCTGGGGGTCCCCTGGCGAAAAATATCCCGACCGCAGCCCGACCAAGTCTACCCAGAGATGGTTTTGGGGACCTTTTTCCGGCACCCCTCACGAGGATCGCGGTCTCCGAGGGGGGTGCACTCGACTGCCCCGCCCCAAGAGGCCCCTAAAACCCCCCAAGAGTCCCAACGGGGCCCCAAGACGCCGCCAAGGAAGCCCAAGAGACCTCCAAGAGGCCCCCAAGAAACCCCCAGGAGGCCCCAGCGAAGCCCCCAAGAGGTTTCAAAGAGGCCCCATAGAGCGCTCGAGGGCCGGCGGAATGAGCGAAACGATTGAATAATCGATCTGGACGAGAAACAACTATTGACACAATTTGCTCTTGGTGCGTTTCAAGGATTCCGGGATTTCTAACAACTTTCGCACGGGGTACAGTTGCGTCGAGTATTGTCTGCTGTGCCTGGCGCCGCTGGTCGGTCACCCATTCGCAATCGAGTGGTCGCCCGTAGTGGGCTTTTGGGCATTTCCTGATCCCCCTTCTCGTTGCCGAACGCGGGGGGAACGGTGGCGCGCCACCCCGTCGCCCGCCGCCGCGCACTGCGCGCCTCGGCGGATTTCTCAAGACCTGGTAAGGCAAGTCACGCGCCGCGACTCTGGGAAATTATCCGGGGGTCGTCTCTTTTGTGTATGAATATAAACAATAGTACGTAATCATCCAGACTCGTTCCTGAAACATCCCAGACCCGCTTTTGCAAAACATCCAGAACCGTTTTTTGGTTCGTTTTTTCTTCTCAAACATTTTACAATCCGGAAATAATTTCTGGGCGGTCCGACGGGCGCGGCCAGCTGATTCACGCGCCGCGCCGCGCGCGATTGGGCGCAGCGCGCGCCCCGCCCTGCGCCCCGCCAGGTGCGCCTCGCGGACTCCCCAAGAGCAAAACAGAATGCAGCTTGGAATCTCCAAGGGCGCTCCGATGTGTGAAAAAACACCACGCACATCACGCAAAGAACCTGCGCGACGGAATGCGCTCGACCATTCGTCCCTGGAGCCCGCGCGAAAAAAGAGGAACACCTGGAACCCTTGGAAAGTATCACTATCATGATACTTCATGCTCCTCTGAAGATCGGGTCCAGGCCTCCGGTCAAGTCGTTCTGCGATGCTGCAATCTTGTCGCGACATCGGATCTCAAGGTCCCGAGGACGGGGCTGTGCACCGCCTTTTGGGCCCAGCGCGGCCTTGGCCGGGGATGGCGGTGGTGTGTAGCTGCCTCCTGTGGAGGCGCGGCCCTGCCCTGTGGTGGCCACGTGTGGTCTCGAGATCAGCGGCCCATCGTGTCCCCCCATCGGGGCCCCCCTTCGTGTAAATTTGACGCTGTTAGGGTTTTCGGCAGAGAAAACGTTGAACATGCCGCGGCCCCAGACGAGCAGCACGACATAGTGAAACCAACAGTGGTCCTCTTCGAAGACAGCGTCACCTAGGGCAGAGCCCCCCTCCACCACCGCCACCTTCTCCGTCATCCTCACAGCTCTGTCGGTGTCCTCCCTGCACTCCTCCACCTCGTCCTTGCCTTCGCCCTGACCCTCCTCCACACGATCCTTGCTCTCGCCTTCCTCCACCACCACCCCGTCTCACCCTCATCCCTGCTTGCGCCCTCTGCACCCACCCTGCCGCAAGGGCGTCATACTGTTCTTTCACCGCGCGGTCCCTGCAGGCCTCGGCCCTCTTCCCGGGGCCAGCTGGCCATCCCGCGAGCAATTCTCGGACGCCGGGGGGCCCGAGAGCGGCCCCCATAGGAAGGCACCAACTATACGCCAACACCGCTCCTGGCCAGGATCACCCTGGGCCCAGGATCGGCGTATATGCCTTCTTGCGCAAGGCAGGAGGGCGTATACACCGATCCTGGGCCCAGGGTGATCCTGGCCAGGATCGGTTTTGGTGTATAGTTGGTGCCTTCCCACCCCAGAATTGGACGCCCAGAGCGGGTACAGACAAGAACGGGCGCGACGCCCAACAGCACGTGCGGCCCAAAACCAGCAGCGGCCGCTGTGCTGTTGGGCAGGCGGCCTTCTGCCGCACATGTGCCAAAGCCCGCGGCGGCATTGACAGCGAGCCCTGTCCACAACGGGCAAGAACTGCTGCCAGTCGTCGTCCCCATGCTTTCCGAGCCCGCTTCTTGGGAAACCGCAAGGTACCAATACCGCTGCTCTCCGGACCTCTCCCGGGGGGCGTTCCGACCAGAATTTCGAGGCGAATCCGGCAGTAGCGATGGGGGCCTCCCAGGGGGCCCCCACATGGCGAAAACGAGGCGAGGGTAGCAAAATGGGTACCTGTTCCTCCTCTGAATTTCGGTCGTGCCGGCCGGAGGCCAGAAACAGCAACGAAACCTCCGCTTCGACTCCTTCCATCGGCTACACACAAGAGTGACCCTAGGTGAGAGTGACCTTTGGTGCGCGGCTTTTTGGTGGCCGCGGGGGGGCCAACACACAAGCCCGCAGGATGCCACTGTCGCCTCGCATTCGGCGATCGGGGGGCCCCAGTGGGCCCAAACTTACGGTCACTCCAGCGAAGGGTCTGTTTACGCGTAGTCGATCCCAGGGCCATGGGCGTCTGGGCCCCATGCCTCACCGGGGGCGGGGCGGCGTGCTGCGCCCGCGCGGGCGCGGACGCCGCGGTCGCCCCCGCCGCGGCGACCAACGGCGCGTCGTCAGCGTCCTCTGAAAAAGGCCCAGGGACACACACACTTTTTCCAGCGGCGGCGAGGCAGAGGCGGTCCGCTCCAGCGTGCGGCAATTCGGGGCAACCGCCAGGGACATACACAAACACAAACACACAAGCACACAAACACACGAACACACAAACACACAAGCACACACAAGCACACACAAACACACATACAAACACACAAAAGCCACACACACAACCACAGAAACGCAGAAACACACAACAACACACACAAGCACACAAACGCACAAACACACACACACACACGAACACATAACCACACATATACACAAACACACAACACACACAAGCACAGAAACACACATGCACACAAGCACACAACACATAAACACACACACACAAACACACAACACACACACGAACACGTACACACATACACACATACACGCCAACACACAAACACACACAAACACACAAACAAACAAACGCACAAACACACACACACACACACGCGTACACGCACTCACGCACACACGCACACACGCACACACAGACACACAGCCACACAACACACACAAACACACGAACACACAGACCCATACACCCACCCACCCACACACACCACACAAACACAAACACAAACACAAACACAAACACAAACACAAACACAAACACAAACACAAACACAAACACAAGCACAAACAACACAACCACAAGCACAAGCACAAACACACAAACACAACGACACACACACAAACATAAACACAGACACATGCACAACGACAAACACAAACACAACCATAACCCCAAGCACAAGCACAATCACAAGCACAAACACACACAAACACAAACACAACACAAGCACAAACACAAACACAAACACAAACGCAAACACAAACACGAACACAAACACACACACACACATAAGCACACACACACATGAACACACTAACGCACACAGAAACACATACACAAACAACCAAATAGACACGAATCCCAGAATCCACCATCTTTTGCATTTTCTGGTGTGTTGTTCTCCCTCCCGGTCCTCGTCCGCCGCCGCGCCCGGCAGGCGCGGGAACAGGTGCCGGGCGCCGCCGGCGGGGCCCGCTGCGCCGGCCGGCTTGTGCGGCGGGGGGGAGGGGCTCACGGCCTGGGGAGGGGTGACGCGACCTCTCGCCCTGGCATCCTCCAGTGGCGGACACAAGCGCGGCGGAGCCTTTTTGGGGTCCTGCTCGGCCTCCCGTGTGCCCTCGCGGGGCCCCCATGGGGCCACGGGCTGCGGCTTCTGGGGGCCCCGCGCTGAAGCGTCAGGGCGTCGGACGGCAGGAGAAATCTTCGGAGGCGGTCCACCACGGGCGGTTCTGCCGTGTTTCAGGCCCCAGGGCCCTCGGAGACTGATCCGGCTCGAAGGGTGCGGCAGTAAGATGGGGCCCGGGGCTCCGATGAGGTTGCAAGCTCTTCGAGCCATCGGATGTCAGGGGGGGGGGCGCAGCCATTGGGGTCGGAGTACGACCACAACGACGACGACGCTGACGACGACTGCGGCGGGGATAGTGAAGATTGCAGTGGGGGTCGGCGAATCAGATGCGTGCGTGCTGGTTTTCCCGTAGCCTTCTGGCGCCGGAGGCGCCCATGAACCGAGGACTCTGCCTGGCAGGGTCAAGGCCAACTGCGTGCAGCACGTGTCCGCCCCCCACCTCCCGCTACCCCTCTGTTCGCCCGCCCCGAGAAGACAGCAGCCACGCCAGAGCACCAACGAGGTAACATTAAGAGCATAACAAGGCTCTCTTTTTGTTCTGCCTCCTGGGGCTGATCTCGGGCTTTGGGGCCCTCAGCATGAACGATCCAGGGCGAAAGTCTTCTTCCTGATAATGTGTTGGGTCCAACTATAGAAACATGGAGGCGTCCGAGGCCACCAAGAGCCAATTCCCGGTGTGTCAAAGCCTCCCGGCGGGGCGTGGAGCTGAGGTGCACCATGATCTGGCCCAGAATGGATCTGCAGAAACTTCCTGGTGGTGCAATCAGCTGGTTCTGGCGCGCCCGCGTGGATTGTTCAGCCTTGAACGGTGTCGACTTTCCGATCTCGCAGATCTTTGACGTCGGCCGATTCCTTGCCACCGGCGGCCTTCGGCCGTGAACGCTCACGCAAGGGTCGCCACCGCACCAACGCGGCGCGAACCTACCGTACCTTGACATCCGACGACTCGATTCTTGTCCGTGACCTGGGCTCGCGAATCTTCTGACGCCTACTCCTGGGCTAGATTTTCGTGCCGAGTCGTCTTTGAACGGCCCTGGGGCCCTGAAACGGGCCGGGGGGCAAGCGCGGGCGCCGTCCAGAGGTCGGGGCATGCGATTTCCTTTCGGCGGCGAGCGAGGCGGGGAAGTGAGAGTGGGCGGGCCTTCTCAGAAGGCTCGGAGGTCTCTCAGCCTTCTGAGAAATGTCCTAAGCCTTCCCCGACAACAGGAACACTTCTCAGAAGGCGCGAGGGCTTCCGAGAAGTCCTGCCGCCTTGTGAGAAGGCCTTCTCCTTCTCACGTCCCCCCCTCGCTCGCCGCCGATCCTTGGCATGGAGGGGCCATGAATTGCCAAAGGGGGGGGGTCTGCCTCGAGGGAGCGCCATGTCCGCCAGCAAACGCCCCCCGCCCCGCCCCCTCCTCCTCCTCCTCCTCCTCCTCCTCCTCCTCCTCCTCTTCCTTCTCCTCCTCCTCCTCCTCCTCCTCCTCCTCCTCCTCCTCCTCCTCCTCCCCCCCAGAGCGCTCCAGAGTTTAGAGCCACCCCACAAGCGACCCCTCAAATCGTCCAAGAACCTCTGCGAGCTTGGCTCCTGGAGCCTCGACCTTCAGCAAGACCCTCGTGACCCCCCTGGCGGTGACCCCCCGTGGAGGGCAGCGGATCCTGGCCCCCGGTGATTTCATCGGGCCCAGCTCTTCATTCGGAAGCTGGGCGAAGGCTGGCGAATCCGTGGCCGTCAAACCGGTCTTCCTGGAGGAAAACAAGAGAAAGCCCCGGAATACAGCGCAGCGCACTAAATGTATAATCAGCGGGCTTCTCTTCTCGGCAGAAAAAACAACTTCCCAAAGCTCCGTTTTAGCAGCCACGGGTTTGCCAGCCTTCGCCTGGCTTCTGACCGTGGAGGGAAGCGGTTCCGGGCCCCGGTGATTTCATCGGGGCCAGCTCTTCATCCTGCATGCTTGACCTCAGTACAGAGGCCTCCCAAATGGGGTCGGTGCAGATGGGGTCGGAGGATCGCGCCGCATCGCGGATGCATCTGCATCGGCGAGGCATCGGCACCCACGGCGGCGGCAACGGTGCGGCAGAGGGACGCCCCCGAGCCGAAGACCCGGAACGAACACCCTTGTACTGATCTTTTGGTCGCAGACTCGGCCGCCGCGCGAGTCGGTCGGGCAAGGCAGGGCTGCTACAGAGCGGAATTGTGCACGAGGGAAGAAGGCGAGCGGCGGCCACAGGGGAAAAGTGACGGCGGCTCCCTCAGACCCTGCAGGCATTGTAGTGGCGTGCTGCGGCCCATGCTCCGGCGGAAGACTGCAAATAAGCCGCGCCCAGGTGAGCCCAGGAAGAGGACCGTGCACGAGAGCAAAGCTCAGTGGCGATCCGAGCAGGCTCGAGCAAAACCAGTATGTGGCGAAAGGCGGCGGGACTAAGGTACTGCACTGACCTGGTCTTGGGAGTGCTGAGGGGCACGACCACCGCAGGTACAGCCCCGGGAGGTGGTGCAATCACCGTTCAGGGAGAATCACTTACATAACAAGCGACATGAGAAGTGCATGGTGCAATCACTGTTCGGGGAGAACCCTCGAGCCCCGATCTTTTGGGAGACATGAAGATGCTGATCCCGCTGCTCCCTGGACCTCTCCACAGGTGCGACTTGACCAGGATCTCCATGCGACTCCAGCAGTGGCGACGACAGACGCGCAACAATATCGTTATCAATTCTTCCTCGGCCCTCGGTTCTTCTGGGGAAGCCACAAGAGGTACCGATACCGCTACTCCCCAGACCCCTCCCAGGGTGCGTCCGGACCAACACTTCGCGGCGAATCCAGCGGTGGCGACGAGAGCCTCCCCGGAGGCCCAAAACGAGGAAAACGCGGCCAGGGTAGTTTCCTCTTCGGATGCTCACTGACTACCTACCAGACCACCCCAACCCAACCCGAGGGCCCGAATTCGACCCGAATTTCGGGTTGGGGGGGGTACGGATCCCATGTGTTTTTTCGATGTTCCCCGACCCCCCCCCACTGGAAATCGAGGATAAATTTGGGCCTTCGGGTTGGGTTGGGGTGGTTTGGTGGGTGGAGAAGGGCAGTTTCCTCTTCGGATGCTCACTGTGATTTGCCCCCTCCCGAGGGCGCCCACTCCGCCGCGAGCACCTCCGCGAAGCCGGGCCAGTGCAGCGCCGCTTTGCGGCCCTGCCGGCCGTCCGAGGCGGGCCACCCGCGCGCTGCCATGGCCAGCCGAGGGGCCCCGGAAAAGCGCCGCCGCAGGTCGGCGGGGCGCGGGTGGGCCCCTTCTAGGCTCCTCGGGCCGAGAGGATGAGCGGGGGGGGGAGGGGGGAGGAGGAGGAGGAGGAGGAGGAGGAGGAGGAGGAGGAGGAGGAGGAGGAGGAGGAGGAGGAGGAGAAGGAGGAGGAGGAGGGGGAGAAGGAGCAGCAGGACAAGGAGGAGGAGGAGGAGGAGAAAACTGGAAGCTGGACTGGCCTACCTCTGGAGAGGCGAGCCCTGAAAGCGAGCGAGGCTCCTCGGGGCTCCTCGGGCCGAGAGGATGAGCGGGGAGCGTAAAGGGTGAGGTGGGGGAGAGAGCGAAGCGCTGTCTCCAGGCGCCGCGCGGCGAGCATCGAGTGCCTGACGAGCGCGATGGCACGGAACGACGAGTGCTGGTGCGTCGCCATCGTGGACCCTTCAGCGGTGTTTTGGGCGCCGCGCGGCGAGCATCGGGTGCCTGGTGAGTGCGATGGCATGGAACGATGAATGATGATGCGTCGCCATCGTGAACCCCTCAACGGTATTTCAGGCGCCGCACGGCAAGCATCGAGTCCCTGGCTGGTGAGTGCGATGACATGGAACGATGAACGATGATGCGTCGCCATCGTGGCCCCTTTAGCGGTATTTCAGGCACCGCGCGGCGACCATCGAGTGCCTGGTGGGTGCGATGACATGGAACGATGAATGGCGATGCGTCGCCATCGTGGATCCCTCATCGGCATTGCAAAAGGATCGTCATGCATCCAAATTTAATCATTTGCGTTGGCAAGGCATGATCCCGCCAAATGGGATTTCTAACATCGTTTTTTGTTACGTCGGGATTTTGAAATGCCCCTCTTAGAATATGTGATACGATTCAATGGGAAGAAAACTTGGATTTAGAAATACCGGATCTTTGATTCGACCGCTCTTGACCCAGCCCGCTCGGATTCTAGGGGGGAAACGGAGGGGCAGTTTGGCGCGGTCGGGACAGGGGCCCGCCTTCGCCCGCCCGCTCGCGCGGAAGTAACGGACGACCCCTGCATCATCTTGATGCCCACATAAAACGCGACGAACTTTCGTAACGGTGTCATTTGTGTAGACATGTGCACGTATGTATGTATGTATGTATGTACGTATGTATGTATGTATGTATGTATGTATGTATGTATGTGTGTGTGTGTATGTGTGTATGTGTGTATGTGTGTATGTGTGTATGAATGTATGTATGTATGTATGTATGTATGTATGTATGTGTGTGTATGTATGTATGTATGTATGTATGTATGTATGTATGTATGTATGCATGTATGTATGTATATATGTGTGTATGTATGTATGTATGTATGCATGCCTGGATGGATGGATGGATGGATGGATGTATGTATGTATGTATGTGTCCAGGTATGTGTACACATATGCATATATATATATATATATATACAATTGCACATTTATGTATGTACATACACGTATGTATGCCCGCCACCGTATCCTTGAGGCACGAGTTGGAGTGTCCTCAGGTCCTTGGCCTAGCCCCTGAAGCCTCAGTTCTCAATTCTGGGGTTTCCTTCAAGGGCCTGGACCCCACATTCACACAGCTTCTGGGGCTGGCCGCGTGGCCCTTGGGGCTCCCCGCGGTTTCTCGCGTGATTTGTTCTGCCCCAGAGGGCCCCCCAAACGGGCCGATAGGGCCCCAAGAGGCGACCAAGACGGTCCAAGGAGGCCACGAGTCGCGGCACGATCGGTCCAAGACGCCCGACCGAGATGGCACCAAGAAGCCTCCGTGGCGCCCCAAGAGAGCCCCAAGAGCCTCGAGAGGCCAAAAGTATTGATTTCCCGACTGTTTTCTAATCATTTGGGGGCCCTCGACGTTTCAAGCTTCCGGCGCTACGAAGGGGGCCTAGGAGGCCCCCAAGACTGCCCTAAGACGGCCCAGAAAGCCTCCAAGAGGGCCCCAAGACGGCCCGAGAGGGCCAAAAGCCAGCCTCAAAAAGGGCCCAAGAGGGGGATCACGAATGGAAGATCCCAGGAGGCCCCAGGAGGTTCCAAGGAAGCCCCAAGGAGGCCCCAAAGGGTCTGCAAGAGGCCCCAAGGGTCCGCAAGAGGCCCCAAGGGAACCCCAGGGAACCCCAGGAGGCCCCAAGGAGGCCCCAAGGAGGTCCCAAGAGGCCCCAAGAGGCTAAGACGCCCCAACATGGCTCTCAAAAGGCCCCCAAGCGGTCCCCCGGAGGCCCCCATTAGGCCCCCGCGACATCCCAACGAACATCCCCCAGCCCTTATGACCCACAATCCAAGCACGGCGGCGGGATGAGCCGAAGGCCGTCATATATCGGCCGCCCCCTGTTGGCTTGCCACAGGGGTGCTCGGCGTGCTGGATGTTCTGAGCGGTTTTTGGTATTTGTAAAGGCTCCCTCCTGGGTCTTCGGCACAGCGCGCTGGCCACCTGGAACGGGTAGTTGCCAAGGAAGTTCCTGCTCCAGATGGCTCGAAGATGACTCCCAAGTTCGCCCAAAATGGCCTCCTAGACTGCCAAAGACGGCCAAATAGGGCCAGAGATGCCACCAAATGCGCCCAAGAAGCCTTACAGACTGCCCAAGGCGACCCAAGAGTGGCCCAAGAGGCCTTGAAGACGGCTCAAGAGGCCTCAAAGAGGTCCCCCAGGAGGGCCCGAAGAGGCCAACATCATTGATTGTCCTCAGGTCTTTGAGCGATTTCGGCATCTCTTTCTTTTCGGCCTTCTGACGGCCCCAGGCGGCCCAAGAGGCCCATAAGATCGCCCCAAGATGGCCACAACGGGCTCCAAGATGACCCCACGACGGCCCAGTAAGCATCCACGACGGCACCAAGAGGACCCCAAGAGACGGCCCAAGGGGCCTCCGAGACTCTCCATCTGGCCTCCCCTGAGGCGCGCCAAGAGGCCCCAAGTCGGTACAGAGAGGCATCCAGGACTGCTTCCGACGGCATCGGATGGGCCAGGAACGCTCTCAGACGGCCAAAGAGGCCCCAAGAAGCCCCCCAAGGGCCCCCGAGAGGCCCACGGAGGCTCCCCAGAGGCCCCCCCAAGGGTTCCAGGAAACTGTCAGGAGGCCGCAAGGGTGTCCCAAGAGGCTCCCAAGAGCCCTGCTGCTCCTCCTCCTCCTCCTCCTCCTCCTCCTCCTCCTCCTCCTCCTCCTCTTTCTCACTATGTGTCCTCCCTCTCCTCGGCTTCGTCTCTCTCCCTCACATGTTCCCCGAATGGTTTCCACAACGGCAGGGGAAACACATGGTCTGGTGGCTTCGCAGAGCCCTGGCCACGACGTTCGGCCAAATGGGCGATTCCAAACAGCAGGTGGCGGCGGATATTCGCCGTAGGCGTCTTCGACATATATATATATATATAGATATTTGAATATAAAAATATGCATATATGTACACTTATATGTACACATGATCTACGTGTACACTTATACATATATATATATAAGTATGCATCTGTGTGTGTTGTGTGAGTGTGTTGTGTGTTGTGTTGTGTTATGCTGCGCTATGCTGTGCTGTGATGTGTTGTGTTGTGTTGTGGTGTGCTGTGCTGTGTTGTGTTGCGTTGTGTTGTGTTGCGTTGAGTTGTGCTGTGTTGTGATGTGGTGTATTGTGCTGTGTTGCGTTGTGGTGTGGTGTATGTGTGTGTGTGTGTGTGTGCGTGCGTGCGTGCGTGCGTACGTGCGGTGTGTGTGTGTGTATGCGTGACAGTCCTGAGGCCCGTACCGAACCCCCAGATGCCGAAATCAAGTTTTTCACGATGTCGTCGTCGTCGTCGTCGTCGTCGTCGTCCTCGTCCTCGTCGTCGTCGTCGTCGTCGTCGTCGTCGTCTGGACGAGGAAGATGCGTTGGAGTCGGAGTCGCTGAGGGGGAAAAGGAGGAGGAGGAAGAAGAGGAGGAGGAGGAGGAAGAAGAGGAGGAGGAGGAATAGTAGTACGGAGCTGATGAGCAATCTGTGTATCATGCCTGTGGAAACCTACGCGTATGTGTGCATCAGGGCAATCTGCATGCAAATTCACGCTACTGCGCGCCGCGCTGCTCGCGCGTGCAGAAGATGGGACCGATGGGAGCCGACGAGGGGCCCGACCGAGGGGGCCGAAACCGAGGAAGACCGGAGGGCCCGAGGGACGGCGAAAGGGGGGAGGTGACAAGCAGGCGAGCGAGGGCCAAAACTGGCATGAGGAGGAGGAGGAGGAGGAGGAGGAGGAGGAGGAGCAGGAGGAGGAGGAGGAGGAGGAGGAGGAGGAGGAGGAGGAGGAGGAGCAGGTGGAGGAGGAGGAGGAGGAGGAAGAGGGAGGAGGAGGAGGAGGAGGAGGAGGAGGAGGAGGAGATGGAGGAGGAGGAGGAGGAGGAGGAGGAGGAGGAGGACGAGGAGGAGGAGGAGTAGGAGAGAGAGAGTCGTCGGTCGTCGTCGCCGGCTGTCGCCAGCTGTCGTTATCCTTCGCCGCAGTCGCGATCGCCACCGTCGTCCGTCACCTGTAAAACTCGCTAAAGAGCGGCCTCTGGACCGCTCTCATGGTCCGTCCTGGCCAGTTTACCGACCTCTGGACCCCTCCAAGGCCGAATTCCGCTCAAAATCGATCTCCGGACCCCTTCAAAAGTCCATCCCGGCAAGTTTGGTGCCCGAAATGGGTACGGATCAATTGGGCACGATGCCCAACACCGACTGCTGTTGACAGCGGCCGCTGATGGGCAGGCGAGTTTGTGTCTTAAGCGGACAGCGACCGCGGCGACGCCGACACCGAAGCCACCTCATAATGAAAAGAAACTACTGCTGGTCTGTGTGCCCGTTGTTTCCGTACCCACGCCAGTCCTCCGAATTCATCCCGCGTAGTTGTTGACGGTCCCGGGGCCTGGCGAGAGCCCCCGTAAGCCCGAACGTGGCAACGACCAAGCTCCGTCCTGCTACGTTTCGCGACGCAAAGGGGTCGTTCACGCCTGGCGGCCTTCGGGCTGTAACTGGAGCCTCTGGCGGCTGCTCGGGGTGATCCTTGCACCCCGGGAAAGCTCTCGGAGAGGCGCAGCCGCTGGAAAGCATCCTTGAAGAACCTTTAAGAATCTTTTAACCTTTAAAACCTTTAAGCCTTTAATGAAGCTCTCGCCGAGGCGAGAAAGCCTTCAAGAACCTTAAGAAAACCCTGAGATCCGATTCCACGGAAACATGCAGCATCGTAGAATCTCCGACCGGAACCCTGGACCCGACCTTTCGAATTGCAGCATTTTTCTAGCCGGACCGATCCGTTGAGGGTTCTGGGGCCCGAGCGAAAAAAGCAAACTCGCCCGTTGCAATCAAAATGCGACGCCAGGATCTCAGGGCTCCCCTGGCTCTCGGGTCACATTGCGCGGCTCCCCAGCGGCCGCTCGGGGCGATGCTGGCATCCCCCTGGCACGTCCTGACGAGGTCCAGCTGATGGAAACCGCCTCTGGCATCGAAAACTCACGACAAATCCTAAGTCGGGCATGTCTCTCTCTACAGGAGGAATATTCAAGAATGGTAAAAGCATAGTCTGGGAACGATGTTTCGACTATTTTTTGGCTGTTTTTGTATCCTTTCTGGCAATTTTGTATTTTTCTTTTTGCAAGCACGTAGGAGGACATGCCCGACCTAAGACAACTCCCCTCCTGGACGTTCGGTGGCAACTCGTGGGAGCCTCCCATACCATCTTGTCGGCTCTTGCGAATCGATGCGAAATCGACGCTCAACCGACGCCAATCGACGCTAGCCGACGCTAAAACGGCGCTGTCTCTCATCGACTCCAGACGCTAATCGACGCTAAAGACGGAATTGAGAGGGTACAATGGAGGCCAGTCCACAAGAAACCTTTCAAAAGAAACCCAACCCTGAGACCCCAGGCCGTCCATGGAGTTCTGGTGGGAACCTCGCGCCCTCCACTGCAAAACCATCGAAACCCAAGAGACCCAGGGCACCCTGGAGGCAAGCAGGGGTGCTTCCTGGCATGGGCCCCCACTGCATCCATTGGACGCCCGAGTTATCCGGGAATTACCCCTGATGATTCGGGGCTCTGGACGCCCGAAATATCCGGGGTAACTCGGGTCCGGGATAACTCGGGTTCGGACTCCCGAAAAACGAACCCGAGTTAGCCCTGACCCGAGTTACCCCTGATGATTCGGGGCTCTGAATCCAGGCGCCCGTGATCTGCCGCCGACGGGGCGCCCCCGCCCCCCCCCCCCCCCCCGGCGGCCTGCCGACCTCCTGCGGGGCCTCTCGGCGGCGCCCGGGCGCGGCGCGCCCTGGCCGCCTGCCGGCGCCGTGGCCGCGCCGCGCGCCGTGGCCGCGCGCGCGGTGGCGGGCGGGCGCGGGCCGGCGTGGGGGCCTCGGCGGACGAGGGCTCTCGGCGACTCCAGAGGGGTGTGGTTTGCAGAGGGTGTGCTTTGCAGCCGGCACCCTGGGGAGCATCCTGGGGGGCACCCCGGGAGGGCGCGCGGGGACCTCGACAGAGTTCTCCCGCGCCCCGAGGAGGCGAGACGAGGACAATGTCGTGCCCCCCAGGCCCCAACGGTGCCGACCGCAGACCACACCCCGGCGTAACCATACCCTTTGTAGTCGCCGAGGTAAGGTCGGGCATGTCCTCCTGCAGGCGGATTTTGGAAGAGAAACTAGAAATAGACAGAAACAACTCAACGAAAATAGTCAGAAGAGCACGACAAAAATCGTCCCCAGGGGCAACTTTTGTGACTATTCTTGGGGGTTCCTCCTGTCGAGGGACATGCCCGACTTACGACAAGGGGGGGCAGACCCCGGGCTCCGCGACGACGGCGGGGGCGGCGTCGGCGGCGGCAAATGGCGACGACGACGACAGCAACGACGACGACGACTACGACGACCAACAACGACGACGACGGACGACGACTACGACGTCGACGTCGACGACGATGACGACGACGACGACGACGGTGACGACGACGACGGCGAGACAACGACGACAACGACAAAGACGGCGAGTGCGGCTGCGGCAGCCCGCGGCGGCGGGCTGCAACGGCGCGGACTGCCGCTGCTGCCATCGCCGTCGCCGTCGCCGTCGCCGTCGCCGTCGCTGTCGCCGCCGCCGTCGCCGTCGTCGTCGTCGTCGTCGTCGTCGTGGTCGCGGTCGTCGTCGTGGACGTGGTCGTCGTCGTCGTGGACGTGGTCTTCGTCGTCGTCGCCGTCCGTGGTCGCTGTCGTCGTCGCTTCCGTCGCCGAGGCTCGAGATTCGGGCAGTTAGGTTCGAGGATCGAGGATCGGTCCTCGCCGCGGGGGTGGTCCAAGGCCACGGCTTTCTCGGCCCTCCACACGCAAGTCAGGGTCTTCGCCGCTCCGGTACGCAGCACGCAGCACGCAGCGTGGCGGATGCCGTAGGCCCGAGCGAGACGTTCGCCGAAGCGCGGGCCAATACGTTGAGCCTGCAATACGCAACGTGTTGACACGGACGGACGTTTTGAGCACGGTACGTGTTGCGTATCAAAACGGGCGTACCGAGGCAGCCAAAGTCGGGGTGAAAAACCGACCCTGCGGAGAGGATCCGCACTTCCAGGGGGCCTGTATCGGAAAGATGAACACACACGTGCGGCTCTCCGGGAGAGGATGTTGGATGGTTCTTCATGAGAAGCTGGCTCGGGGGAAGGCCTCGCTGTCCAGGATCCGTTTCTTACAAGCCCGTGCTTGGCGACGACGGCGACGTCGCCGTCGTCGTTGCCGTTCGAGGCGCAACGACGTCGTCGCCTGCGCCTCGGGCGGCTCGAGGAAGGCTTGGCGACGACGCCGCCGGCAGCGACGACATGTTGGATGCATTGAAATATTTCGGGGGGTTCTCGTCGCAACGGCTGCTAGCGGTTTGCGTAAACTTGACAGGAACGATCTGTGGATGGGGTCCAGACTTTGGCTTTGAACGGGTTTTGGCCCTGGGGTGGGTCGAGGGGTGTCTGGGATTTTTGGCGTCGAGGCTGTCGGTAGTCGAGGATCGAGGTCCTGTTGGGCCTCTAGTGGCGCCCTCCTTGAGATCCTGGTCTGGGCGCGCCCCCAAAAACAAGTCTGGGCTTTTTTTCCTGGGTGGGTCTCGTCTCCAGGCGCCAGGAGCGAACCGACGACGAGCGCTACAACCTCGGCCTTCGGGAGCTGACTTCGGGGCCCAGGACGACATCGACAGACGTCCCGCGGTGACAAACCTGTCCCAGGGATGGGGTCGAGACGTCTAGGGGCTCGCGCTGCGAGACGCTTGTCGGAGGAGGGGGGCCACACGAGACAGCGGCGGTTCGCCTGCCCAGCTCAGGCCCGCTCAAAATCGCATGCTCTTCTCGGCGGACCCAGTCGTGGCGACGGGATGCCTCCAGGGAGCCCAGACAGGACGAACAACGACAGGGAGGCCCACCGCTGTCTCGCCTGGCCCTGCTCCGAACTCTGGGGACGTCCCGCGGCAAGAGTGCGGTCGGGAACCTTTGCTGAGCGTGTCGCGGCGGCGACGCCCAGCGACACGCTATGCCCTGCGAGCGGGTAACGCGTCGCTGCGCTCCGCGGGGCGGGAGGCCGAGAAAGGGTCGGGACGATGACGCTCCGGGACTGGGACGTGGCTTGAGCAAGGGCCGACCGCTCCAGCACTCCTGCGGGCCTACCGCGACGTGTGCACGGAACAGAGGGGCACGCTCCAACAGCAGAAACTATGTCCTGAGAACACCGGGCCGATGTGTTGAACCACAGACGACCTCGTCCGGAGAGGCTCCAGACACATGTCGTGCTCACCGCAGGCAGCTCTTCGAGCAGTCGCTGGTGGGCCTCCAGGCACGCCACGGCGCCTCGCCACCGCTGCTCCAGTGGCCGGCGCGTCGCGCCGAGGCGCGGCAGGCCGGAACCCGCTGCGCGGCACGCCGAGCAGGAGCTCCTCCTGCCGCCCGGGAGCCGTGCGCGTGTGCGTGCGTGCCTCCGGCCGGCGGCCGGCGCCGGGGTCCCGCGCGGTGCCCCTGGCTCTGCGGGGGCCCTCGCCGGCGACGGGGCGGAGGCGCCAAGTTGGCAGGCGGGGAGGCCAGCGAGGGCTCCCCCGGGAGGGGGCCAGGCGCACCCTGACTACCTACCAGACCACCCCAACCCAACCCGAAGACCCGAATTTCGGGTTGGGGGGGGGTAAGGGTTCCACGCGAATTTTTTCGATGTTTCCCGACCCCACTGGAAATCGAGGGTAAATCTGAGCCTTCGGGTTGGGTTGGGGTGGTTTGGTGGGTGGTGACACCCCCAGGGCGGCGCAGCCCCCGCGAGGTGTCGCATCGGCCGCGGTTCCAGCCACGGTGGGCGCCCCAGCGCAGCCGCTGGGCGCGCTCTGGGGTGGGCCCGGAGGTCCCCTCCTCCAGGGTACCGTCTGCTCCGGGGCACGTCCGGCCTCCCCTGAGCTCAAAGGGAAGAGGGGGGGGCAACAGCAAACGAGCTCGTGATCCACAGCTCATCACGTAAGACATCTGGGCCAACTTTCGGGAAGTTTCTTGAAGCAGACCTGGGAAAGCAGATCTGCTGTTAACGCCAGAGGGGCGGACGTGCTCGAGACACTGGGCCAGTTTTCCGGCAAGGTTGTTGAGAAACGCTGGCCCAGCTCTTCGGGAGGAGGTTTCTTAACCAAATGCTCGGCTGAATTTTGGCAAGCGGATCCTGACACGCGGGTCGGGCGGCCTGGCCCTAACGGGCGGGGCGGGCGGGCAAACTCTAAGGGCCAGGTCGGGCGGGCGGGGCATGAAGGCGGGCGGCAGGGCTTCCAAGCCTGTGAAAGGGCAGACCCTACCGTGCGGGTCGGGCTATCCCCGCTGTCGTGGTCTCGGCCCCACTGGCCGACTTACTCACCTTGGTACGGATGTCTCCCTGCTCCTTCGGGTTCCGCGGGGCCCAGATGTCCCCACCTACGTAGGAGGGTGGGCTGGGCTGGTGGGGATGGGGATCGGTTGGACGATGCTGAGGACGGGAGCGCTGCCCCCGGATGCGGAGTAACCGAACAGCACACAAGCCTGTGCTGAAGGACGCGCTCAGGCACGCCTCGCCGGCTCCCAAGCAATTTCCTGGTGCCACCTCGAAGGCTGCCAGTGCCCCAGCTTCCTGAGGCCGCGCGCCGAATAAGCACCGTGTTTCTGAGTGACGCCATCCGTGAACGATGCGCAACTCTGTGGTGCGAGTAAATGCTTCCAGTGTTCTGTTGGAGCGGTATGTTTTCCTCTATGCAGGCGTAGTCTGCAAAACCCTTGGTCCCTTTTGAAAACAAACTGGTGGGTGCTAGGCCGGCGCCGGCCGCGCTTGCTCGGGGCTCATTGGTCTTGTCTCCTTGCGGCGGCGTTCCGCGGGGTTCCATTGTTATGTTTCCTTACGGTGGCGTTCCTTGGGGTTCCTCGGTCCTGTTTCCTTGCAGTGGCGTTCCTTGGTTTTCTTGGTCTTGGTTCTTTGGTTCTTCGGTTTTGGCTCTTGCTGCCTCTCTCGGGTTTCTTGGTCTTGGTTCCTTGGTCCCTTGGTCGTGGTTCCTTGGTCTTGGCTCCTTGCTGCCTCGCCAAGCAATGCCACGCAATGCAAACCAATCTGCCATGCCATGTGCCAAGCAATATGCCAAACACTACGCCAAGCAATGTGCCAAGCCATCTGCCAAGCGATCTACCAAACAATATGCCAAACAATCTGCCAAACAACCTGCCGAATAATATGCAAAACAATATGTACAACAATGCCACGCAACACAAACAATGCAATACGAACATCTTTTCCCTGATAGGGGTCGCGCCGTTTTCTTTTCCCTTAGAACTGTGCTGACACCCGTGCGCATCAAATTCTGTTTCTCGTCGACCCCTCCCTCCATTTGGTGTGCCACCCTGTTCAAAGAAAATCCTTCAGAACAGAAACCCAACGTGTTGTCGCCACAACCCGCAATGCGGCGAGGCGGCGTGCGAGAGGATTGCCGCATTCCGTGCATGACTCAAGATCGCCCCAAAACGGCCACGACGACGATGACGACGGTTGCGGCGGTGACGACGGCTGCGGCGGCGGCGGCAACGATGACGGCTGCGGCGACGACAACGATGATGACGACGACGGCGACGACAACGAGGACGGCTGCGGCGGCGACGCGACGACGAAGACGACGGCGACGAAGCCCAAGGGCCTCTCCAGGTCATCGGCTGAGGCGGGCAGCACGGGGATTGCAAGCCCACCAGGGCGAGCCGGGGGATGCCGCCCTGGGAAGGGGAGGAGGATGAGGGCGCAGGGGGAGGGGGAAGAGAAGGAGGAGGGAGAGGAGGAGGATCGACCGTAAGTTTGCAGCCTCTCTCCCACTGACCTAACAATCGATAGCGTGTTTGGCAGCGGCGAGGGTGGCTTGCAATTGAGAAGCGTTCGCTGCGGTGTCGTGCACCAGCATCGATTTGATCTTCTGGTAAGTGTGGAACGGTCAGACAACAAGACGCGTGGTACCTTTGCGGCTGGTTGCGTATTCCGCGCATTCGTCTTCGCTGTCGGCACCAAGGCCGAAGGTGAGGTGAGGTGATGCATGGGGGGCGAAGAACTCACACACCACGGAGCAGGACAGGTAGTGGGAGATCGATGTCGTGTTCGTTCGGGTACTTGAGCAGGCAGGGCACGAGGCCGCAAGTGTGGATGCAGTACGAGGTGGTCCAACCTCCCGCCGTCGTTTTGACCAACGCTAAGTGCCAGGCGGGCCTCGGATGATGAGGACGAGGATGATGAGGGTGAGGATGAGGATGACGATGATGACGGTGGTGTTGATGCTGCTGATGATGATGCTGATGCTGATGATGATGCTGATGATGCTGATGCTGATGCTGATGCTGCTGATGATGATGGTGATGATGGTGATGTCTGTCTGAAGCGATGGCCAGACTGTTTCTCAACTTGGGAGAAACGAAACACGTGTTTGTTGTGAACAGCCTCGGGCTTCATCTGAAAAGAGCAACACCAACGCCGCCACACACGGACCCGCACATTTTTAATTACAACATCGGTTGGTGCGCGGGTGGGTGTGCTTGATTATCGGGGCGGAACCCACACGGTCACGGAACGGAGCAAACCAATACGATACAAACATCTGCATAGGTCTGTCTAAAACCATGGCACGACTCTTTTCCCGCTGGGCTGAAACGGGACACGTGTTCGCTGTCAACAAGCTCGGGCTTCGTTTGGCATGGGCGGCGCCAACGTCGCCACGCAACGCCCCTAACTCGCCCAACCTGGCACCTGGCCGCTTCAAGTCATAAATATCCAGCGGTAGAAACACCTGGTGGTTCTGGAGGCACCCGAGGAGACCCAGGAGCAGAACCATCTAGCAAGAGGTGTGCTCAGATGCACACATGGGGAAGCGCGGGACGAGCGAGGCGCGGTGCGCCCACAAAGGCCACCGTCGCTCGGGGGGGAGCCGTAACCAAATGTTAGGCCCGATAACACTTGCTCATTAGCACGCCTAGTGTCAGCTCTACAGGACGAGAGGCGACAGTGTGTGCGATCGCACATGTTCACGAATCGGTTACATACTGCGGAATGCGCGCAAGCGCTGGATGTTGGCAAGACCGCAAGACATGCACATTTATAGGCTGTGCACTTGTGTATGGGGCTAGCTAAAGTGCTGGCTTCACTTTCTCCGTGGTGGGGTCACGCGAAACAGCGGTCCGAACGCTACGTGACGATATCCACCCAACCAGGCGGCGGTGCACGATGGCGACAGCCCAGAGACAACCCTTTACCCATGCACTGTATCCGGCACTAGCAAGGTTATTGGCTTTTGCGAGCTCTCGACGCCGAAGTCCATCTCGAGGGGCGTTTGCCCTGGCGCCGCCTTGCAGGCGCGCGCGATGGCACCCGGGGCGAGGTCGGACACAGATCGCCCTGGCTCAGGAACGGCGGCAGGTCGGGGCGCAGTCGAATCCCGAAGATCGCGCCGATCGAGGCCTCGACGTTGTCCGCCCGTTTTGCCACCATCTCGTCTACCTTTTGAAGCTCGGCAAGGTAGCGGACGCGCCTGGAGTGTCCGGCGGTGCTCTGGGCGCTGGTGCGGCGGAGGCGGGCCTGCAGCTCCTTCGGACTCATCCGTTCCACGGCGGTGGCGTGGGATGCCGCGGCGTGGCGCCGCTGGTGCGGGATCATGTCGGTTGCACCCGGCACAAGACAATCGGCGCCCAAAATCTGCGTGGAACCTCGCCGCGCCCACGCGGGGCGACCCGGGCGAGCGAGCGGCTCGCAGGAGTCGTAGAAACTCGTTCCGCCGCCGCGCCAAGCAGATTGGCACTCGCGCTGGTCCGCCAGTTGCAGATTTGGTGCTCGCGCTGAAAATGCTATGCTTTCCTGGGGCTTCGCAGCGTCGTCCGCACCTTGCTTCTGCATGTCCGAGCTCCGTAGCTGCCTGCGCGTCCTCCTGTGCTCCGCTGCGTTATTGTTCTTACGGGCGCTGCGCAGGCCTGACGAAAGCTTGAGCGGCCCCTTGCAATGTGTGCCCCGTAGCAGCACGCCTTCGTCCTGGCCGAAGGACCTGCTCTTGGTGGTGCCCGCCAGCGGGCGCGGCGGCGCCCTCCCGCTGCGGGGCTGCCACGCGGCCTGGCCCCGCGAACGCGGCGGGCGTCGCGTTGAGGATGTCGTTCGGTGCCCCTCGCGAGGCTCAGCGCCTCCTCCTCCTCCTCCTCCTCCTCCTCCTCCTCCTGCCCGCCCACTCGAAGTCGCCCTCCAGAGCCGCTGTGCCGACCATGCATCGAACGATGGGCTTGCCGCGAGTGCGCTCGAAGGCCAGAGGGCGCGCGGCGGGGCAGAGGGGGGCCGACGCGCTTTGCCTCGTTGCGAGCAGGAATCCGAACTGCACAGCCGCCAGTAGTCACGAGCCCGTCTCCGCCAGCTCGCCGCCCGCTGCGGGGCTTGACATAACAGCGCCCCGCGGATCTCCCACATCCGTGACCTTCCCAGCGAAATGCGATCGATGTTGCGAGCTTCTGCCCCCGAGAGGGCGGCTCGATGTCTTTGCACTTCGGGCCAACCTTGTTGAGGGCGCCGAACGCGGGCCCTAGCTTCGAGACGGCTGCGTCGTGTTTGGAACCGATGATGGCAACCCCGTCGACGAGAATGGCGGCGATGGGCTGCTCGTCGATGTCGGGGATCATCTTTCTGTCGCACACGAGCCTGCCGTCGCCGACGCCGACCTGCTTGGGCGCGCCCTCCGCGGCGAGCGGGCATAAAAACAAGCTCTATTTCTAGCCCAGAGGAAGGACTCTTAGACGAGGTGAACATTTGCGTGAAGTGAAGCGCCGAGGGTGCCGGCGGGAAGAACGTTGGTCAGGGCGCCTCGGGCCGCGCCTGGAAGGGCCGCGAGCTCGCCGAGACCTGCGGGGGCCTGTAACTTGTGGGCGGCGGCCTCGATGCCGCGCTGGCCGAGATGCAGGCGGCTCTCCGCCTCCGCTCGCAGGCTCTGCCGACCCCCAGTCGCAGGTAACTCGGCGACGCCGGGTCGAATGTTATCAGATTTGCTCGACGAGCGTCCTGCGCCAATCGCTGCTAGCCACTGCCGTCTCGTTTGGCAACGAACAGGGGGGCGAGCGTGCGCTTCCGCTCCGCGGCGAAATGTAGCGCCCCAGCGTGAGGCGAACCGTGTAGACATCCGGAGTGGGGCCCCGCGGGGCCCTTCGACCTGGCGTCGAAGCACGGGGGGGCATTGGCAGGCCACTCATCGCGATGGCGCAATAGATGTATACCCCAGTTCCGCCAAATGTCGCGCTCGCACCAGGAGGTGCTGCAACGCCCCCCGCAGCAAATGGGGCCGCTTTCGCTGGCGACGAGTCATGGCCAGGAACGCAACCGCGCAGCTCTCGATCAACCTCCGCGGGGCTAACGTCGCGGCGCCCAGATTGACGCGGCGCGATCGTGCAAGTTGTCGACGCCAGCGAGCTGCGGAGCAGAGAGAATGTCGAAACCTTCGCCGCCCGCCCTCCCATTCAGAACGTTGAGCGTTCACGCGGCCGCGCGCGTTCGCAGCTCTGAAGCCAGCTGCTGACGGCCCCGAAGCCATCACACTAGGGAATTGGGAAGCACGCGAAATGGTCTCGCCGCTCGAAGTGCGAGGTCGCTTGTTCTAGCGGGATCGGCAGGCGCGCCGCTGGACCACCGCGGGGGCGAGGGCGGCTGAGGGTTCGTCGTCGCCCTCCTTACTGGCGGCAGCGCCAAGGCCTCTCCCCTTATGGTCGCCCGTTGGACTGGGCGCCAGCTGCCGCTTCATCTCTGTGATCCCCGGCTCGTGCGCTTGCGCGGTGTGCTCAATCGATGGAAGGTTGGAAACAACAGCCCTGCGCTGCTGCGATCACCGCGGGAAGCCGCGCTACATGCGGCGCCCCTCTGGCACCACGCTGTCCTCGCGCAGCTCGTCGGTCGCGAAATTAGGTAGCGAGGGGGAGATGCGCGCGTAGCCGCGAGTCTTGCCGGTACTTAAATACAAGTGGGAGCCCTCCAGCAACTCAGCTCCTCGGGAAAATGAAATCACTCGGTCGCGATACCTATACACAACCATCTACAAACAACGGCGCGCCAACTTTGCATACAAAAGCTCACTCGCGTTCAGCTGGTCGAAGGTCAGTAGCACGTGCATGATGCGGCAACGCATCTCGTGGATGGACACGTCCTGATCTGAGCACCTGTCCCGGCCTTGTACGTTCCCTGCCGAAATCGAAAAGTCACGCCATCATCCCCCGCGGACTCGCATGCCCACTTTACGGTCATCGGGCCGCTCAATGGAGAGACGTCCCACTGCGTCTCCATCAATTCAGCCGCGGCCTCGCGCATGCCCAAGAACCTGCCTGGGGTAGACCTCGGCGCTGACGCTCTACGTTAAGCTCCTCGCCTCTATCTGCAAGGCCCGCGCGGGTGAGCACCGCCCAGCCGTCGACCTTGCCGATGTCGCAACCTGGGCATGCCATTCAATGCCCGACATCCTAGTCGCGAGCCGTGCCATTGTATTCGCCGCCACTGGACGCGACGGCTCGCCACGCGGAGGGCTCTGGGTCGTCGTGGTGGCCGCTGACGACTTCGCCGCCATAGGTGCCTCCGCGGACTCCGACGGCGCCCGGGCTGTCTCGATCACCTCGTCGAGCGACGTCCCCAAAACGCACCGAAGGAACGCGCAGAAGGCCGCTGGCGTCGGCGGCCTCTCCCGACCTTAGATGGCTATCCCGCTCGGGTTGGCCCCCTCTCGCCACCTGCCTGCGGTTCCTCATATCGTAGGGCACGGTGATGGGCAACACCTGGGACGTCAACTCGTGTGGGTCGACGTGCCATGTAACATAGTATCTCCGCGTCGGACGCGCCGTTTGACGGGTCCTCTCCTGTCACCTCGAGGTACTGTACTCATCCGCCGTGCATCTCGTCCGAACCACTCTCGTCTGAAAGGACTCGCTTGCGCGCCACTGGATCTCGAACCGTTGGCCCGCCTGAGCGCGGAAAAGGCAGATCTTCCAAGACAGAAGCTAGGCGTCGTTCGCATTATCGCCAGCAGCGCCGCGCCCAAGCGAAGAGACTCAAGGGTCTGGACAACAACCGCGCACTCGGTCGCCCAGCTGATGGTCTCGTGGGTCGTGCTCCAGCCAGCCTCGGAAAGCACCCAGCCTCCGACGCGAGAGGCCAAGGAAGCGCGGCTTGTCCACGCCATGAAGCGGCCGTTGCAATAATTCGTGCTTGAACATCGGAGCGGAGCGCTAACGGCCACGGGGCGGAACAGACCAACGCTGATGAGCAGAAGGAGGAGGAGGAGGAGGAGGAGGAGGAGGAGGAGGAGGAGGAGGCTGGACGCTTCTCGAAACCGCCGTGCCGACCTGAGCTCGATGCGAACGAGCGGGCACTGTGGCCGCTGCCCTGGGCCCTCGCGGAGCTTTACGCAGCCTCCACCACCAGGGCCCGAGGCCTCGGTGCGCCCCCACACAGGAGCGGTGACGGCACCACGCTCGAGCGCGGGCCTCCCCGGCGGGCCCCGCGGCCTCGCGGCAGCTTCGAGGGGCCGCTCCGCCCCTGCACGGCGCCGCCGGACACACCTCTACCGACGGGCCGCCGAGGCGGCGCTGGCCCGGGCAGAGCTGGACGCTGGTGCGAGCCCGGGAGCGCCGTCGCAAGCTCGGGCCCCCGAGGCGGGACTCCAGACCGCCTCCGAGCCGCTCTGTGCTATCCCCGCTGCCCGCCCATGGGCAGTGCTGGCGTCCCGGGAGGAGGAGGAGGAGGAGGAGGAGGAGGAGGAGGAGGAGGAGGAGGAGGAACAAGTCATGTCCTCCGAGGTCCATGGACGTGGCTTGCTGGATCGGCGCCCGGGCGGCCTGCTCGATGGGGAGGCCCATGGGCGCATCGCTGCCACGCCCTGATCCCTCGCGCTGGGAAGAATGCACGACGGACAGTCAATGACAGACTCGGGAACAAGAGGAGGTCCCAGGGAAGGGCTGCAGACCTCTGGGGAATCAGGCTGTGAAGAAAGCACGGCGAGGATATCTAGGTAGGACCTCGTCGGAGGGGCCAGTGAAGGGGCAGGAGGCGCACCAGACTTTGCTTCCAGGCAGGCCAAGCATGTCTTGGGGCGAGCCGGCGACTTCTCCGGGCCAGGCGGGGAATCCGGAAAGGCCAGCCAGGCAATCCACGTCGGGCGAGGCAGGGAACTCACGAGCGGCGAGCTGGAAAATTCTGGAGAGGCGGAGGCCGAGGGAATCGGCGGAAACTTGTTTGACTCTCAGATGCCACCCTGACCCCGCCTGGCAGTCCTAGAAAACCGAGCCAAGAGAACGGAGCAAGGAGGAACATCTCCGCACAGCAGCCAGAAGCGAAACCATTCTGGCGAGATTTTCGGCAGCCTGAAGCCCTGAAGCGACGCCCACCGGCCTGCCTCCCTCCGAAGATCATCTTCGTTACCATAGCCATCAGCATCATCGTCCTCAGCAGCATCACAAAAACTACCATAATCACCATCACCACCATCACCAACACTATCACAATCACCATCGCCATCACCAGCATCACCATCACAATCACCATCACAATGACCATCGCCGTCACCATCGTCACAATGCTTATTCTCAGCATCAGCATCAGCAGTTCCCTCATCCTCATCCTCATCCTCATCACCGCCACCATCATCATCATCATCATCATCATCATCATCATCATCATCATCATCATCATCATCATCATCCTCATCACCAGCACAATCATAAGCATCATCAGCATCAACATCATCACCATCACCATCATCACCATCACCATCACAATCACCATCACCATCACCATCATCACCATCACCATCATCATCACCATCATCATCATCGTCATCATCATCTTGATCATTCTGCTCTCCCTCGCCTTCATCATCTCCACTCCATCTCCTCAAGACGTCGCGCGGCCGCCACCCTGCAAGCCGACCGACATCTCCCCCATCCAACTCCTCCTTCTCCATCTCCCTCCTCCTCCTCATTCTCCTTCTCCTTCTTCTCCTCCTCCTCTTCCTCCTCCTCCTCCTGCTCGTCCTCGTTGGTCACGCCTCGGGCCCCCAGTATCTCTAAGCCCTGTCCCTGGGGCCAGAGCCATACGTGTATTTTTCAGGGCCGTAGAGCTCGTAATTGCCTCTGAGGGCCGAAGACACCGAACAACATCGGACTCAATCTTGTCAAGTCTCTGGAATTTTACCGAACGCCCGAGCCCTTCTCCTCCGACTCCTCCTCCTCCTGCCTCTTCCTCCTCTTACTTCTCCCCTGACCCCCTTGTTTTCCCTCCACCTATCCATCCATCCATCCTACTCCGTCCTTCAGCCCTCCCTCCTCCCTCCTCCCTCACCTCGTCCTCATCCTCTTCCTCCTCCTCGTCTTCCCCGATGATGACGACCGACTGGCGACCAGCTGGCGACCAGGAGCGACGACCGACGACGGCGACAACCACGACGACGACATCAACGACGACGTCCACGATGACGACATCGACGACGACGACGATGACGACGAGAACATCGACGACGACGACGACGACGACGACGACGACGACGACGACGACGGCAGCGGCGGAGACGACCGCGCGGGGGAGCGCCGCGGCAGCGCTGAGGCAGGGCTCCGCGGCGCCCGGCTGGCTCGGGGAGCCGGGGCGCGGCGGGCGAGCCGCCTGGGCCCCCGCGCCCTCTCGCGGGAAGGCCTCGCGGGCGGCGAGCGCACGGCAAGTTCGTGCCATGACGGCCCTGCACATGTCGGGGAGACGTAAGACCCGGGTACGGGGGACTCGGAAATCCCCGACGAGGTCGTCGAAAAAATGACGAGGCCGAGCCTGCATTTTGACGAGGCCTCCCGCTGCAGACATCCCACGAAACTCCTCCTCGTCAAAATCCGAGGCGCGGTCGTCAAAAGACGATGGCGAACCCGAGTCCTGGCAAACCCAGGTCTTACGCTCCACCCTCTCGCAGACAGGCCTCGCGGGCGGCGAACGCACGGCAAGTTCGTGCCACGACGGCCCTGCACGTGGGTCTCCGACACCGCGTGGACCGTTAGGCCCTGAGCGATCGACAGCGACGAGCGAACCACACGCTTTCTGCCGCCCCACGCGCAGCGTCAGGGCGCAGAGGATGGAGAACGGCTGGCCGCGCGCGCGCGTCTGACCTCCCGAGCAGTCGGTGGCCGCTTAGAGCCGCGCAGCTGCAGGCGAGCGAACAATACGCACCCACACCCATAAGGGGGGCTCGGAGGGAGGAGGGCTGGCTATGGGTATGGGCGCGGGTTGTCGGACCCGGGGAATGCTCCCGCTCGAACGGGGGCCCCCATCCGACAGCACGCACCGGTAGCCCCCTCCGTCCCTCTTATGCGTATGTGTATGTGTGTGTGTGTGTGTTGTACGTTAGGCTTTGCCTCCTCCTGGCCTCGCCGTGAGGCTGCGCTCCTTCCCTTCCCCCCCTCTTTGTTAATTCAAGCTTCGCGCGGCCCGCTTAGCTTCGACAGGAAGAGGTGCGCTCTCGACCCGCGAATCAAAAAGTGTGTGTGTGTTGTACGTTCGTCACACAGGCAGCGGGCGCCTGGCTCAGAAGGCAACGGACGAAAAGGCAGACTCTCGGAGTAAGGACAACACCCGCCCTCGCGAAACAGATACGCAGAAACACACGAGCGTGACGGAACATCTTTCGTCACCGAGTCCACAGAGATCACGCCGGCAATCGCTGGCTAAGACTTACATGCTGTGCTATCGGCTGGCGCGTCGTCATCGCCAGTCGCCCACCTCAAGCAGATTAGCGAAGCCTTCAGAGGTCACATCACACATCATCATTGGGTACAACATTCAAGACGTCAAAACCTCGACACTCGCAGGACCAGCGACAGTATCCGGGACCGCCTCCAGATCTTCGCATACCACCTTGAAACCTACAGATGAGCCGATATGTCAACTCTCATGGTTGAGCTGTGGACGATGATGATGGTATCGGGGGGAGTCGCAAGCGAACAGGCAACATCCTCATCCTCACCTCAGCCATGTTCTCCCGAGTGATCTTTACACGTGCTGGCGGCGTCAGGCGATGCTCCCAGTCGAAAGGCGGGTAGACTTCCTGGAGCTCTTGGCGCGAACCTGCACCTGTAGGGCCAAATGGCCAACACGTTGCGTGCAGTCAACTACTAGCTGCAACGCTGGGAGCTCGAGACCGAGACGCCGCAGGCGGCGGAATACGACGTCCCCGCGCCCGAGGAAGAGAGCCCTGTCTGGCACAGGTCGTGGTCGAGGGTTCGTCGTTGCCGGCGTGCGAGGCGGTTGGCGCCGGAGCCGCGCCCGACCACGAGCAGTGCTGCCTCGCCACCCGCGGCCAGCTCGGCCAAGCCGAGCCTCCGACGCCTCCGGCGCCGAGCAAAGGGCGCCCACAGCCCCAACCAGAACCGAACCACCGACCGAGGAGGAGCAGGTGATGGGGGCGATGCGCGAGTCCCCCAGGGAGGGCCCCAGGGAGGCCGAGGAGACCATCAACACCAATGGAAGCAATATGATGAAATAGGGATAGGAAGAAGACTTCACTAGGGGAACGAACAATGGCATAAACATAGAAACTCGGAGGTCCGCGCGGATTTCTCGGATCGGCGCTGGACCCGCCTCCCTGGCGCACGGAGCGCCAGGGGCGGCGCCGGAGGCGCCGCCAAGGGGGTCCAGCGCCGATCCGAGAAATCCGCGCGGACCTCCGAGTTTCTATGTTTATGTCATTGTTCGTTCTCCTATGAACGCATAATAATCCGCAGCCCCATCGGCATGTGTGAGACGCTGTCGTCGTCTTCGTCGTAGTCGTCGCCAGTCTCACTACAATGGACGAACGACAAACGAAGCGTCGTAGATAAATCGATTCCCTTCCCTTTGTCTCTTCCCTGATGGGGGGGTGGGGGGGGGGGCGTCGGGGGGGGGGGGGGGCAGGGGAAGGGGTACGGGGGGGGGGTCCCGGGTCAGATTGCGGCCCCCCGGAGCTCCCAGCGGGTCCCGTTGGACACCCTGCATCCGCCCTGGCGCTCTCGTCTCGGCGCCGGTTGAGTTCTATCTGAAAGTGAGGCTCGCGCTCTGGCGTTTCGGGCTTGCGCCGAAACGGCCCCCCCAGCAAAACCAACGCTCCCGCTAGATCCTCCTTTTCTGCTCGGGACCGGGGCTCTTGCTCACCGCCGAAAGCCGGCTTTCCAGCAACAACGGCGCTCGCACTCCATATCTCCTTGCTTTCTACCCGCGCCGGGCGCTCCCGCCTCGGCGCCGCAGGCGGCCCCTCCTGCAAACAACGACGCTCCCGCTGGATACTCCCTCCGCTCTCCTTCAAGACTCCCACAGGCCCTGGGACTTCCCCCTATTGCCTCGTGTACCTCCACGAATGTAGCATGCACTGTCGGAGGTCTCCCGCCCTCCTTCAGAAGTCTTGCTGCACCGCGCTCCACCATCCTCCTCCCTCACTGTCTCCGAGACATCTCAGAAACCTCTCATAAGCATCGTGGGACATGTTTTCCACTGGGGAAAAGATCTTCCACCATGGAGCCCCAATGAACTTCATCCGGGAAACAAGTCCTTCTTCGGGGATCTACAAACCCGGGTCAGTCCAAACCAGGGTCAGTCAGGCCTGCAGGATCCTGCGCGCTAGCCCGGGTCAGTGCACCCCTGGCCCTGCAGGATCCGGCAAGATCCGGCGCTCTGGCTGACCCCCGTCTGCACTGACCCTCGTTTCAAACTTCCCGATCCAAGGAGCCAACACTTCCACTGGGGAACCACATTTTCCCCTTCCCCCATCACTTTCGACCACCCCGAAGGGAGGCAGGTGAGGGGGGGGGGCAGGCCGCCATCGCCGTCGACGTCGCCGTCGCCGTCGCCGCGGCCGTCGCGGTCGTCGTTGTCGTCGAGGCATCGGGGGATCTGTGCTTCTGGACATTTTTGGGCTTCGCGGAAACAGGAATCCAAGAGTCGGTGCTTCGGGTGCTCTCGGCCTCTGGATGGCCCTTCGTGGCCACGGCTGGGCTTGCAGCGGAACTCTGGTCAGGATGCGTCGCAGGATAGTTAGTCTGACCCCCTACTTCAGACCTCCAACACGCAGAAGCAAAACGTTCTTTGTGTCCCGAGTCCTGGGGGCGGTCCCCGTGCCCCGCGACTATCGAGCGTCGATCTGGGACGAAGGGCCGCTCTTTTCAGGAAAGGGTCGATAGCTCCAGGGCTCTTCTGCGCACTGGCACCCCACCTTCTTCCCGTCTAACAGCGAAATGTGCAAGGACGGGCTAAGCTACGGCTGCGTAGCCAGAACGTGGTGATTGCAAGCTCGAGTATTTGAATGCATTCGCCGCCATGGCAGGACAATGCTTCAACGGTATGCGCGACCTGTGTGTGTGTGTGTGTGTGTGTGTGTGTCACTATCTTGTTTTGCGTCAAACGCGCCCCAACTGCGGGCTGTCATCACGCTGCACCGTGCTAGTCCGGGCAGCGACCGGACACCGGGGCGTCCAGGCCGCCCGTCAGCCTGCGCGCAAAGCGCACGCACAAAGCATGGCCAGTCCAAGAAAAAACGACGACGGTACGTACACTGGTGCTCTGGCGCCTAGGCGCAGCCTTCTCCTCCTGTTCCTCCTCTTCCTCCTCCTCCTCCATCTCCACTGTTCCTTTCCTCGTTCCACCATGCCGCCACGTCTCCGTCCTCAGAGCTCCTGAAGCCCACGGCCTCGTGACTATGATGCCGCAGTCGCAATCACTTTAGTTACACCTGAATTCACTTGAACACACATCACTCAACGCACAACGCATGTTCCGTTTCAGAATACTCTCCGTGTGCATGTGTGGCACCGTGTGGCATGCCACAGAGGCGGTCCTTAAAACATGACTTATGAACGGATAATGACAGCCCCTGCTGGAGTGGCAGCGCACTCAGATGCCATCTACAGGGCTATCTCTACTGCCATCTACAAGGAAGAACCCGGCATCATCTACAGGGCCATCAGTGATGCCATCTACAAGGAACAACCTGACGCCATCTACAGGCACATCGCTGTTGTCATCTACAGGGGTAGAAGGACGCCATCTGCTGGCGGGCATCTGATGCCATCTACAGGCGTATCCTTGATGCCATCTGCAGTGCAATCCCTGATGTCATCTACAAGGAAGAATCGGATACCGTCTGCAGGGCGATTTCTCATGCCATCTACAAATTAATCTCTGAGGCCATCTACAGGCGCATCTCTGATGCCATCTGCACTGTATTCTCTTGGCGAAAAGCCCAATAATATGCAGTTGTGAGTACCGCCGTTCTGCGTATCGCCTTCGGTGGACTTCTTTATGGGGCCACGAAGCGTGTATAGGGTGTAGCGATGTGGTGCGGGGGCGCACGCGGACGCAGCAAGCGCAACAATTGGGGCCTTCGGTGGCGCTCCATATGGGGCCAAGAAACGCGTGAGAGGTGTGCCGGAATGGAACGGTGCCGCCATGCGAACCATGCCACTGGGGCCTGTGGTGGAGCTCCCGATGGGGCCACGAAGCGCTGTGGGAGACGCATGCGAACACCGCCACTGAGGCCTTCGGTGAAGCTCCCTATGGGGCCACGAAGCGCTGTCCTGGGTGAGGGTGACGCCTGCGGGCGGTGCCACTGGGGCCTTCGGTGGAGCTCCCGACAAGCCTCCGCGAAACTTAACGCAAGTCCCCCGTCCATGGCGCCCCAAATTTCAATGTTGAGTTGCGCGCGCGGCGCGGTCCGCGGACGTCGACGGAACAAATCAGGTCGCGCGTTTCGGCATCAACATTGAAATTTGGGAGTCTGGGGGTGCCAACGCGGCGCAGGAAAAACTTGCGATAAGTTTCGCGGAGGGATGTGTGGGGCCATGAAGCGCTGTGCTGGGTGGAGGTGGCGCATGCGGGCGGTGCCACTGGTGCCTTCGGTGGAACTTCCTATGGGGCCACAAACCGTTGTACTGGGTGGGGGGGGGGGCGCATCCGAACAGAAGCGCTGTTCTGGGTGGGGGAGGCGCGCGCGAACACCGCCACTGGGGCCTTCGGGCCACCAAACGCTGTCGTGTGTGGGGGAATGACGTGCGGACACCGCCACTGGGGCCTTCGGTGGCGCTCCCTATGGGGCCAAGCAGCGCGTCACCGTGTGGGTGAATGGCATGCGGACGCAGCCACTGAGGCCTTCCGTGGACTCCCCTATGGGGCCACGAAGCGCTGCACCGAATGAGGGGCACTCATGCGGACACCGCCACTGGGGCCTTCGGCGGAACTCTCTGTGGGTCCATGAAACGGTGTAGGGGGCCTGCGGTGCCCCCCCCCGCCCCCCTTTGGGCCACGAAGCGCTGCACTGGGTGGGCGAAAGGCACCGCCGCTGGGGCCTTCGGTGGCGCTCCCTGTGGGACCACGAAGAGCTGTGCTGGGCGGGGGGAAGGCATGCAGACGCAGCCACTGGGGCCTTCGGTGGATCTTCCTATGGGGCCACGTAGCGTTGCACTGGGTGGGGAAGGCATGCGGACACCGCCACTAGGGCCTTCGGTGGAGCACCCTGTGGGGCCACGACACGCTGCCCTGGGTGGGGGAAAGGCATGCAGGCGCCGTTAGTTAGGCCTTCGGTGGAGCTCCCGATAGGGGCCACGACACGCTGGCCTGGGTGGGGGAAACGCATGCGTACACCGCCACTGGGGCCTTCGGTGGAACACTCTGTTGGGCGACGGAACAGCGGGGGGAAACGCATGCGGACACCACCACTGGGGCATCGTCGGTGGATTCCTCTATGTGACCACGAAACACCGTACTGGGTGGGTGTGGCGCACGCGGGCGGTGCAAGTGGGGCCTACGGTGGAGCTCCCTATGAGGCCAGGAAGCGTTGTACTGGGTGGGGGTGGCACATGCGGGCTGTGCAACTGGGGCATTCGGTGGAGCTTCCTATGACGCCACGGGGCGCTTGACTGGGTGGGGGTGTCGCATGCGAACACCGCTACTGGGGTCTTCGGTTGAGCTTCCTGTGGGGCCACGCAGCGCTTTACTGGGTGGGGGTGGCGCATGCGGGCGGTGCCACTGGTGCCTTCAGTGGAGCTCCTTATGAGGTCACGAAGCGCTGTACTGGGTGGGGAGTGGCGCATGCGGGCTGTGCCACTGGGGCCTTCGGTGAAACTTCCTCCATGTGGGGCCACGAAGCGCTGTACTGGATGGGGGTGGCGCATGCGGGCGGTGTCACTGGGGCCTTTGGTGGAGCTCTCTATGGTGCTACGCAACGCTGTGCTGCTTGGGGATGACACATGCGGACGCCGCCACTGTGGTCTTCGATGGAGCTCCCTATGGGGCCACGAAGCGCTGTACTAGGTGGGAGTGTCGCATGCGGGCGGTGCCACTGGTGCCTTCGGTGGAGCTTCCTATTGGGCCACGAAACGGTATACTAGGTGGGGGTGTCGCATGCGGGCGGTGCCACTGGGGCCTTCGCCACGCAACGCTGTATTGGGTGGGGGTGGCGCACGCGGGCGTTGCCACTGGTGCCTTCAGTGGAGCTCCATGTGGGGCCACGAAGCGCTGTACTGGGTCGGGGTGGCGCATGCGGGCTGTGCCACTGGGGGCTTCGGTGGATCTCCCTCTGAGGCCACGAAACGCTGTGGGTGGGGGTGGCGCATGCGGGCGGTGTCACTGGGGCCTTTGGTGGAGCTCCCTGCAACCCTCCGCGAAACTTAACGCACGCACCCCCCCCCTCGCCCCAACTATTAATGCTCACGTGCGCGCGCGGCTCGGTCCGCGGACGCTGACGAAACAACTCAAATCCTGGGTTTCGGCATCGACGTTGGCATTTGGAGAATCTGGGGGTGCCAACGCTGCGCGGGAAACAGGAGATCCGTATGTGACCGCGCAGCGCTGTACTGGGTGGGGGTGCCGTATGCGGGCGGTGCCACTGGTGCCTTCGGTGGAGCTCCCTATGGGGCCACGAAGCGTGTGCGGGATGGCATGCGAAGAGCAGACGAAAGGGTGCTGATGCTGATGACGCTGATGATGATGACGATGGCAACACCGATGATTATGATGATGCTGCTGATGATGGTGATGATCATGAGGATGAGTTCGATGCTATTGATGTTGATGGTGACGATGCTAACGCCGACGATGACGATGAGGATGCTGGTGACGATGATGATGATGATGATGCTGATGATGATGATGATGATGATTACGATGCTGATGATGATGATGGTGATGATGATGATGATGATGATGATGACGATGATGCTGCTGATGATGATGCCGATGATGATGTTGCTGATGCTGGTGATGTGAATGATGACGATGCTTGTGCTACTGCTGATGCCGATGATGCTGATCATGATGCTGATGACGACGATGATGATGCTATTGATGCTGGTGTTGCTGTTGGTGGTGTTGATGATGGTGACACTGCTGATGATGATGATGATGGTAGAAGGATGGAGGGGGAAGAGGCGGAGAAGAGGGACGTCGCTGATGGTGATGCAGATTATGATGCAGATGCTGATGCTGATGCTGATGCTGCTGATGATGATAATGATGATGATGATGGTAAATAAGGAGAAGCTGATGATAACCATGATGGTGCTGATTATGATGATGATGCTGATGCTTAGAGGAGGGAGGAGCGGGAGGAAGAAGGAATGAAGGAGTGCGTGACCGCTATCTTCAAAATGAGGACCCAACACAACAGGATGGCTTATAATGGCCGAGCGCCATCTACAGGGCTATCTCCGATGCCATCTACAGGCGTATCTCTGATGCCATCTGCAGGGCTATCTCTGATGCCATCTACAGGGAAGAACCTGACGCCATCTGCAGGGCTATCTGTGATGCCATCTACAGGTCCATCTCCGATGCCATCTACGTGCATATCTCTGATGCCATCTATAGGCGCAGCTCTGATGCCATCTAAAGGAAAGGACCGAACACCATCCACAGGGAAGAACCTGACGCCATCTACAGGGCTATCTGTGATGCCATCTACAGGTCTATCTCCGATGCCATCTACATGCATATCTCTCATGCCATCTATAGGCGCAGCTCTGATGCCATCTAAAGGAAAGGACCGAACACCATCCACAGGGAAGAACCTGACGCCATCTACAGGGCTATCTGTGGTACCATCTACAGGGACACCGTCAATGCCATCTAAAAGGCCCATCCACGGGCGATCGACAGGGACTACTTTAATGCCATCCACAGGTCTATCTGTGGTACCATCTACAGGGCCATCTTCAATACCATCTATAAGGCTGTATGCGTTTGCAGTAGATGCACACCGCGGATCACTCACCGAGCTGCAACAGAGCGTCGGCATCAAAGGCCAGCTTGTCATTTTGACTGGGAGCCTGACATTATTCTTTAGCGCGCACTTCTTGAACTTGCCAGCCTCTGCCTCCGCCGAAACTGACTTCGCCAACATCTTAGCAGAGAGAAAGCCTGGAGGATCAACCTGGTGCGGGTGATCGCCCAAAAGCCATTTTGATATCCGCCGCCGTCCCTGAACGACATGGAGTGTGAGATTTGGTTTGGCTCTTGTTTTCCAGCCATCCTGTGGAATTGGGCCATCGATTTCAATTCGTAGCTCTCCGCAACTCACCTGACCTCTCCCCCAATCTCCTACTCGCTCATCCTCCGCACTTCTCTCCCATCCCTGCATCTGCTCGCATGTCAATCTAAGCATACCCTTCGCTACGTGGCCTCCTTGGGAGCTCCACCGAAGGCCCCCAGTGGCACCGGTCGCATGGTATCGCTCACATTCCAGCATACCCCTTACACGATTCGTGGCGGTGTACGCATGCTGCCGCGCCCATTTCAGCACATCCCTCCCACGATTCCTGGCCACACGCTTTGTGGTCCCATAAGTGGGTTCCATCGTTTCTCTACCTCACTTTTCATACCTGATCCCCTCCTGATAGTAGTAGTTTCCACTTTCTCGTGAACATTGCCTGTCATGCGCTACTGTCGGCTGTACATGTTTCGGCCCTTCGCCAACTTAGTTCCTAGGCCCGTCATCCACTCGCGCAATCATCGCCGGAAAAAAAAACGCCTCCCCAGTGCACTTTTGGGCTTTATTCAATTGACCCCCAAACAGCCGAATACCGACTTAAAGTAGCTGGAAGACAAGCCAAAAGCATCAATTGACGGCCCAGCGGGCCTCCGCGGCTCCAACATCTCCACTCGATGGTCCAGTTTCAATTCAGTTTCAGCCTCGGCGCCAACTCCGGCGGTGCGGTCCCCTGAAGGGCAGGCCGGGCACAACTGCATAGCACAGGTGGAAAAGTGCACGTGCGAACGACAGTCTCATGTGGCAACTGGTCAGACTGAACTGACGAGGGGGTGGAGGAGGGGGATGAAGAGGAGGAGGAGGAGGAGGAGGAGGAGGAGCAGACGGAGAATGAGGGAGGAGGAGGAGGGAGGCGGAGGAAAACGAGGAGGGAGGAGGAGAGGAGGAGGAGGAGGAGGAGGAGGAGGAGGAGGAGGAGGAGGAGGAGGAGGAGGAGGAGGAGGAGGAGGAGGAGGAGGGGGAGGAGAAGGAGGATGAGGAGGAAGAGGAGGAAGAGAACGCGCCTCCACGCGGGGGTCGGATCCCGACCCCACGCGGAGCAGGCCGCGGCGACACGCGGCGGGCCCAAGGTGGGCCGCGGCCTCAGCGGAGGCCGACGTGGTGGCCTACCCCCTCGCCGCGCAGGGGGACTGCCCGCGCCGCCCAGTGAATGCACATCCGGGCCACTGCAGTCCACGACGGAATAATGGCCTAACCCCTCGCCGCGCAGGGGGAAATGCGCCGCCGAGGGGAATGCACCTCCCTCGCCATCGGCACCAATAGCAGGCCCATGATCCACTCCATGTCAATGGCCTGCTCCCTCCAAAAGTGGGCGTCGGTGCCTCCATTCCGCATATTTGCAACCTCCAGCACCGAGCCCAAGCAGTGGCCTAACCCCTCGCCGCGCGGGGGTTGCTGCACGTCCCGAAGCGCCTGGCGGCCGCCTCAGGGTGCTCTGCCAGCCACAGCAGCTCCCTCAATGAGCACCGAGGGCGACTTGCCGTTCTGGCGCTTGGCGGTCCAGACCCCGATCCAGGGGAATGTACATCCCTGGCCACCTGGGGCTGTGCACCACCTCCACCTCGGTCTTGAAGTTGTCGCCGTACCGAACTGGCCGAAGCAGCGCGGGCGGACAAGACCAGCGGCCCCCTGCGCTCCTCCTTGGAATCACCAGCCACACCAGGTCGCAGTCCACCATCTCCGAGCACAGGGCAAGCCTGCCCAAGACCAGTGCTCCCATGGAGCGACAGCTGCCTCGCCACGGCCCCCGACGAGAAAGAACTGGCCCTTGTGGTAGTGCCTGTCCCCAATCCAAGGGGATGCGCATCCCTGGCCACCTGGGGAGGAAGAGTACCAACTTCACGTGCTGGGGCGCCCTGACAATACTTTCCGAGACTGCATCGAGCTCCACATGGGGAGCGGGATGGCGGCGTCAGCGCGGCCGACGCCGCCGACCTGACCTGCTCCATGTCGGTCGCGCTGGGCAACTTATCGGAGGCTGCCCGCAACTCCTTGAGGTAGTCCATGCGGGGGGCCCGCCTGCACCCAGTCGACGCGGAACTCGAAGCGCACGCGGTCCTTGGCCATCTTGCTGGCGGCTTCTGCCCGACCTCCAGCGATTCCCTCCTCAACGCAAGGGGGGTCTCAGCTTTCTCAAGTCGGGTGGGCGCATCGGGGGAGGCCGCCGGCCAGGAAGACGGACTTGTCCTCGTCGTAGGGCCTGTCCCTATTCCAGGGGAATGCGCGTCCCTGGCCACCTGGGGAATGCGCTCGGGCGAGGCCGCCTGGCCCCTGCACTCCCCCATGGCATCGCCACGCCCAGCCTCGCCAGGTCGTGGCCCACCATTTCCGAGCACAGGGCAAGCCTGGCCAAGGCCGTCGCCCCCACGACAGCGGCCTCGCCACGGTTGAAGATGAGGAAGACATGGCCCGCGTCGCAGTCCTTGCTCCCAGCCCGGGGAAATTCACATCACTGGCCACCTGGGGCAATTCGATCCCAACATCACGACCTGGGGCGCCCTGACTTTGCTTTCCGACTCTGCGTCTCGCTCCACGTGGGGAGGAAGGAAACGACGTCGACCTTCCTGTGCGCCGTCCAGGGCTATGCAATGGCCACTGGCGCCGTACTTGACCCCAATCCAGGGGCGTGCACCTCCCTGGGCACCTGGGGCAGTATCCTTCCAACCCCAGGCTCACTGGGCACCTGCCCTCGAGGCTGTCGCCCAGCATGGGCAGCGTGGCGACTCTGACGCGATGCAGGCTCAGTAGGCACCTGCACCGCTATGCTGGCACTCCCCCCATGTCTCGTCAGCTCTTCGCCAGGCTCGGTGGACCCTTCATGAACTCGAGGCTGTCGTCAAGCATGGGCAGCGTGGCGGCTTTGACGCGATGCAGGCTCAGTAGGTACCTGCGCCGCTATGCTGGCACTCTCCCCAAGTCCCGTCAGCTCTTCGCCGGGCTCGGTGGGCCCCTTTCACTCGAGGTTGTCGTCCAACATGGGCAACGTGTCGACTTTGACGCGATGTAGGCTCAGTGGGCACCCGCGCCGCTATGTTAACGCTCTCTCCAGATTATGGCTGCCCCTTAGACGGTGCACTTCCGTCGTCACGATCGCGGCCTCCTCCTGCAGCTCCCGAGAAGACTCCAGACTTCGGATGCCTCTGGTCCACGTCGAGCGTGATGACTATCTTCTGCGCTGCTTTGCAAGTGCCCCGACTGCCCAGGACACGTGGCTTTCAGTCCTCTGACACGACCACCTCCGATACTATACTGCGCGCTTTGAATATCGTGATCGGGCCGAAAATAAACGGCTTGTGCCCCATCTCCCCTCGTGGAACATGCGTGGGGCACACGGGGCGGGCAGCCTCGTCGCTTCAACGAATTCAGCAAAGGATCCATTCACAGGAACGAGCGCAGGATGGCCCCGAAAGAAAACAACCGCAGACCAAGTCTCGACCAACGTGGGCTCGCAGTACTTGTATTTGGCCTTGGTGCGGAGACTTCTGACAACATGTTCTGTTCTCTCCACTGCGTTACACTGCCTACACCTCCACTCCGTTGGCGCCTTCGGGTCGGGGTCGTGCCAGAACGTGTGGTAGTCCAAGTCTGCGGCCCTCGTCCTCGGTCCTCGGTTCCTTGCGGTTCTCGGCCATCACGTTGGTCTCCAGCTTCTGCGCCCGCTCCGCATGGCGCTGCGCAAACTGGCCCAACGTCGCCACCGCCCCCGCCGCGTTCTCGAACCTGTACCTGCAGTCCTTCACGGAACTCTCGGCCAACCGCGCGTTGTCACTGCCCAGGCCTGCGAAGACGTCCGCCCGCTGGTTGCCGAGCCAATCGTCTAGGTCACACCCTTTCTCCACGTCCTGGTCGCATGACAGATGTGACACTTGCCGCAGGAACTCAAGCTTCGGCTCGCTCCTGCGCGTGGTATATGTCGCCAATCCTGCATGTTTGGCCTTGGGCCCCGCATTGCACTCCCAATCCTTCTTTGACTCGTCGACAATCTTGGAGGAGAACGTCGACATCGTGACCGCCACCGCGGGGACAACTGCCACCTTCTGCGCCTGCGCCGCGGCGTACCTCTCCGGATAAGGTGCCGTCTGGTTGCGCCCAGGTGCACTACCGTATCTGGCTCTACAAGGCCACCCATTTGGTCCAGCTCCACCGCGGCCCACCCGCATCGCCTGCACTCAGGGAGATTGGAGTGCGAGGCAGCGCCGTCCGTGCACACTCGACGTCCCCACCTCTTTATGCGTAGCCGATATCCTTCAGTATCTGCTGCTCCTCCACCATCGCCTTGCTGCTGCCTGATACCTCCCCCGCTGCTGTCGAGGTCGCACTGGAACGCGGTCGGGTTGCCCAGCGGTTGGAGTTGGGGATGGTCGACAACGTCGTCGCAAACTCGAAGTGGTCATAACGATCCTCGCCATGTCCCTGATCCCGCGCCTTCTGTCCGAGCCGTCGTCGATGTAGCTTCGCCTTCTCCGACAGGTCCACTTTCTCATATTCCGCCAACCTGTCGCGCCGCACTTGTGCCGCAGGTGGCCATGCGAAGCACGGGGCGCCTTGCGCCGCGGACAGTCTGCGCTCTCCTGAAGTCATCGCTGCTCCCTCACGGCTGGCGCCAGGGGGGCCCCTGACCACGCCGCTCTCACTGGCCCTTGCTGCTTGGGCATGAGTGCCAAGATGCTTTTGCGCATGGCCCGATGCCGCAGGTGCTCGGCCCCAGTCGCCCCAGGTACGTGATCCAGCGTGCGGCTATGTTTCCACTGCCTTACCCCTTCAATGACCAGGTCTCGCACCTCCTTGGGCGGTGTCGTCAGCAGCGAGGTCGCAGCACTTTCTCTGGACTTGATCTGGGTCGGGCTGACCAAGTTCCAACCGATGCGCGCCGAAGATAACATCAAAGCCGCGGGAAGCCCAGTGCACAACGTCCACGACGGGCTCTCAGACAG